TACATCACATGCCAGGACAACTCATACTTGAATGTTACACCACATGCCAGGACAACTCATACTTGAATGTTACACCACATGCCAGGACAACTCATACTTGAATGTTACACCACATGCCAGGACAACTCATACTTGAATGTTACACCACATGCCAGGACAACTCATACTTCAATGTTACACCACATGCCAGGACAGCTCATACTTCAATGTTACACCACATGCCAGGACAGCTCATACTTCAATGTTACACCACATGCCAGGACAACTCATACTTGAATGTTACACCACATGCCAGGACAGCTCATACTTCAATGTTACACCACATGCCAGGACAACTCATACTTCAATGTTACACCACATGCCAGGACAACTCATACTTCAATGTTACACCACATGCCAGGACAGCCCATACTTGAATGTTACACCACATGCCAGGACAACTCATACTTGAATGTTACACCACATGCCAGGACAACTCATACTTGAATGTTACACTGCACAGCCCATGCTAACTTACAACAACAAAGGATACAGATAATTACAATGACAGAGTTCGCAAATATAAAAAACAATTACACAAAAGCAAGACCCATATCATTAGTGTATTCACATTTCTAAAACATAATTAAGTAAATCAACTATATACATTAAATGCAGGGATGTTTTGTGAACTTGACCGAGGCCCTCAGGTCGACTGGCCTAACACAGACAGCATTTACCACAGTTGTGAGAAGGGAAAGTGACTGCCATGATACAGATCAAAATACTCAGTGACACGGGTTAGCATCATATACCTAACAATAGCTTAAGACAGGTCAAAAGGGCTTTACTCATCAATCAATGATTTCAGTCTTTTGCTTCTTCTGCCTTTTATTTTGAAATGGAGCCCAGACGCTCAATCAAATCCAGGCTATCCCAGCGTGGATCCCAGGGCACTATTTCGGGCTGGGGAAAGCACAGACTCAATGCTTCTAAACAAGCATGTCATACAAGGCATTTGGGGTCTGCTGCAATCGAGTTTAACCAAAAGCAGCAGATATTGCAGCCTAGCTGTAAAGAAGAGCACAATATGCCAACCACCCTTTTCATAGAGAAAAAACACCCTACATATACTTGTTTACCAATAGTTGGCTCACTATGTGTGAGGTGGTCAGTCTATTACAAGATACTCCTCTTACAACACGACTAGTAAGTTACCTTGCTTCAGCAACCCCCCCCCCCCCCCAGACACACAAACACAAGTACACACTGACGAGTTAATTAGATTGGTCATTTTATCTGCTTGCATTTTCATGTTTCTGACATATCAGGTCTAACTCAGCTGCAAGCAATGCGGCAGCAGACCGACCACCTTGTGATGATTTCAACAGGCAACAAATACTGGGGTTTGCTTGTGATGCCCTGTGCAGGATGTGCAACTCTGTGATCAGATCACTGGTAGTTGTGAAATTTCAGCAACTGCTAAACCTGTAATTCCCTTTGCCCATCCGTTTTCAGCCCATCTGTTTCCAGCCCCGTCTGTTCCAAGCCTATTTGTTCCCAGCCCCGTCTGTTCCCAGCCCATCTGTTCCCAGCCAATCTGTTCCAAGCCTATCTACTCCCAGTTCCAAGCCCATCTGTTTCATAAAGGCAATAAATACAAAAAAATATAAGGATATACAATCAAGACATTTAGAGGAAAAACCCAGATCTATAAAAACCAGGAATAAATGCATTGTTAGATATGATGTGGCTGATTACAGAATAACATTTATGTTCATAAGTAAAACAAGTGGGTATTAACATGAGATTCATAACTAATGGTTCTATAAACAGAACCCAGATGAGCGTGTAAAAAAGAAACTGTTCAGACTATTACTAGTCTCTTAGGTCCTGTGAGAAATGTCTGTATTTGAAACATCTCAGTTGAAAATCTTCTGTCACACAGACATTCTACTCAGGAGTAGACAGAACCTGTGAGTAAACAGAACCTGTGAGTAAGAACCTGTGGGTAGACAGAACCTGTGAGTAGGATCTGACTTAAGATGGGCAGACATCACAATAATTACACTGTGACACACAGGTGGTTGGCAAGGTAGGATGCATGCCCCCCAAATACAAGTAGTAGGTAGCATTTAGATTATCAGTTTAGTTCAAAACAAGTAAATGCGTAAACTTTCTAGATGAGAAAGAATTAATTAAAACTGTCTTTCTTTTAAAAAGTAGCAGACAAGATAATGTTGTAAATTTTGCATATTTACTGAACACTAATAAAACAATAAATAAATGAGTATAAACAATATCAAATCAGGGCTTATATTTTCAAAACATGAGACTCAACTTGAATAGACTGTACATTCAATACTGTGGCTGGTACACAGGATGTCTCCTAGCCCTTGTGTGGTTTGAAAGGGTGTGTTTGAGAACTAGGAAAACTGATGCTGAAAGAGCCATGTTCTCACAAGGTGTCCTCAACAGGGCCCATCAATAGAAGGCACAGTGGCTCTGTAACTAGCCAGGTGTGTTGTAAAGGCCCATCAATAGAAGGCACAGTGGCTCTGTAACTAGCCAGGTGTGTTGTAAAGGCCCATCAATAGAAGCCACAGTAGCTCTGTAACTAGCCAGGTGTGTTGTAAAGGTCCATCATTAAAAGGCACAGTAGCTTGCCAGGTGGGTGTATTATAAAGGCCCATCAGTAGAAGGCACAGTAGCTCTGTAACTTGCCAGGTGTGTTGTAAAAACAGTCATCAGCAATTATGGCAGATTTTTCTACAACTCAAAACAGACTATCTCATACACTTGCTAAAGCTAGCCACTTTAGACTTGTGATTAATAGAAATATCAAGGCCTGCTACTGAAAATTCCAGAAAGCATCTCCAGAGAAAAACAAACACTTAAGAACACCCAAAACTCCAGCCTAATCATGGACAATGGAGTTCTATGCCATGACCAGGGTGGTGGGTTATGTATTGCCATTGCCTCAGTTGAGCTCTCCAGTCACATTTTGTGTTATATTTAGCATTTCTTACAATCCACTTGACTACAGTCACCCCCTATTTACATCCTACATAGAATAAAAGATGATGGTTGAGAACCGGCTACAGTGACATTCACATGGATCCAGCACTGGTCGTCTTACTGGCCTACTTCATACTGATGATGATGATAGATAACAAAACTACATTTGTAAATGTACTTTAGCTCGTCAGAGTTGGAAACGCGCTTCGTAATGAAGTCTTGCACTGGTTTTAACAGTGCTACCCAGAGCTGACCATTCAAAAAGCAATGGCAAACTACTGAATGTAACATTTGCCTAGAAAAACCACAACAGCCACAAAAATGCTGGGATTGGTTCTGCTAGGTCCTGTAAAGGATACGCAACTAACTCTTTTAACTTAACTTTAGCTCAGATCTTACTTTAAGATAATCTGAAAACCAAAAATAACATTTTTTTATTAACCAATACAATTTTTCTTCATATTGAAAGAATGCAAGTTGACAGAGAAGTAAAAACTTAACACACGAGGGAGATATATGGTCGTCGACCATGAGGCAGACAAGAAGATGATGGAAAGATAATATCCAGACAGACCTGCAAACACTTGGTGTCACCAACTAGAAAGAGAAGGCAAACCAGAGAGATGAATGGAGGCGGGTGATATCTGCAGCAATGAACCTCAAGGGCTTGGAATGCTGAAGAAGAAGAAAAAGAATGCAATTCTTATTGATCAGCCTGGTAATGATAATGAAAGATTAAAAATTTGCATTCATGAATGTTGTTTCAAATAAGATTTGATTTTAAGAGAAGAGGAAAAAAAACTTTACAAAAGCAAATACCAATCTTCTTAATAACCAATTTGACGAACATGATGGATTAAAAATGTAAATTCATTGATGCTATGTTAGCACAAATCCTATTTTGAGAAGCTTAAAAAAAAAAAATACATCAGTCTTAAAATTAACAGCAACTTAATGATAACTACACATTACAAATCATTATTTGTAAATGTTAATTTAGCACAGCTCTTATTTTAAGATTTAAAAAAAAAACATCACAAAGGTTTTCTTTCTGATCAGATTCAAAATGACCAGGTTTATGATATTTACAATCTACATTAATTTTTACACAGATCCTTTTTTTTAAATAAACTTTTTTGGTGCTTTATTAATATCCTACCCCAAACAGGGGAAATCCACAGGTCACGGGACAGTCTAATATTTCAGGTGGTCCTAGATAGGCTGCATGCAGTCGTAGGACCTAGGCTGCACTCTCTCGTGGGAGGTGGGTGGGTTGGAGTTAGGGCCAGTTCTAGATGTTTTGAGGTCGTTAAAAGCATCAGAAAACCGGGAAACCCAGTCTTACTACCCTCTAAAATGTTGGACTGTCCTGTGACGTCATCTAGGGTAGGATATTAATAAAGAAACCTTTTTTAAACCTTACACCAGTTTCCATAATGATCAAATTAGCTTAATGGCTGTACATTCATGTCTACATTCATGAATGTCGCGCCCTGATTGCCCGTGACGATCCTCATCTCAATATCTTAGCCCCTGAGTAAACTTAGTTAAACAGCCGTGTTGTAGTACATCACCCATCAAATACCAGCTGGTCTTTAAGAATACAGTGCTAGCAATATATGTCCAGCGTGTCTCAAGCCATAAAAAAAGGGCTCCTTTATTCGACTGACTCACCTAAATAAAAAAGAAAAGTAAAGGACCCTCGCTTTTAGGCGTATAGGGCATATAGGGCTAGACCCATATCTGTATAGACCAATCAGCACAAGATGGGTGATGTGGTCAGCATCACCCCTGCCACCTTTACTTCCTGGGACTGCACACTCACCTAAATACTGACACAAAAAATACAATACGCTCATTAAGATGTCTTGATACATTTGAAGTAACAACTATGATAACTTATACACGGATGTGTCTTGGTTTGCAAATGTGGATTATGTCTCTATGTTTCTGGCACAGATCTGTCTTTGAACAACAAATGTTAATCTGACAAGTGGTGGCTCTTAAAACCCTTGCAGCTCTGGGAGGTTGTAGTAGAGATCTATGCTGTCTGGATTTGCTAGTGCTCCTCTCTGTAACACCTCTTGGCCAGAGATGGCTTGTTTGATAGCAACTTCCACTTTCTTGCCACTGATTGTGTACTGTAAGAGAAGATTAGAGACAAGCAGGTAAGTACAATGACTGATTGTGGACTGAAAGAGAAGATCAGAGACAAGCAGGTAAGTACAATGACTGATTGTGTACTGTAAGAGAAGATCAGAGACAGGCAGGTAAGTACAATGACTGATTGTGTACTGTAAGAGAAGATCAGAGACAGGCAGGTAAGTACAATGACTGATTGTGTACTGTAAGAGAAGATCAGAGACAGGCAGGTAAGTACAATGACTAATTGTGTACTGTAAGAGAAGATCAGAGACAGGCAGGTAAGTACAATGACTGACTGTGTACTGAAAGAGAAGATCAGAGACAGGCAGGTAAGTACAATGACTGACTGTGTACTGAAAGAGAAGATCAGAGACAAGCAGGTAAGTACAATGACTGATTGTGTACTGTAAGAGAAGATCAGAGACAAGCAGGTAAGTACAATGACTGATTGTGTACTGTAAGAGAAGATCAGAGACAAGCAGGTAAGTACAATGACTAATTGTGTACTGTAAGAGAAGATCAGAGACAAGCAGGTAAGTACAATGACTGATTGTGTACTGTAAGAGAAGATCAGAGACAGGCAGGTAAGTACAATGACTGATTGTGTACTGTAAGAGAAGATCAGAGACAAGCAGGTAAGTAAAATGACTGAATGTGTACTGTAATAAAAGATCAGAGAAAGGATCATAAATACAATGACTGATTGTGTACTGTAACACTATATATAATACAGAACAGAGTACTGAACTGAATTCTATCACTTTATATCAGATTTGTTATCCTTATTAATCTTAGTTTCAGCTTCATAGCAAACGGGTCAAGGCCACAGTTGCTCTGCTCTTGTGCCAATGAAAAACACATAGAATGTTCATCACTGTCCTTGAAGAAAAACTAACACAGGCTACTGTCTCAGCATATCAACTAGCACACACATGCATTAAAAGCATAAGGCAGCCATCAGAAGTGCTACACAAACAGTCCGACATTAGAAATGTAGTCCATTATTAACGGAAGCAGCAGTTACAAACAAATCCGTAGTTGCACATGCGATCAATTTTAATCACATCAGGCACCACCAATACTGTGGCAACTGGCCATGCGCCAATTTCTGAATATATGGTTCGTGACACCACAACTGGTCACATTCGAAAAACATTCCGAATGAAATCTGAGGCTCAGTGTTGCGCCATGCACTCAACTGGGTGACAAAACTATATTCTTTTAGCATAAAAATGGAGGAAAATGCAACAGCCACCGAATTTGCCACGACTAAAGCAAATATCTCTTCTTTGCTTTCCACATCCACATGGCTGAGCACTTGAACCTTCAGCAATCTTTCAGATTGCCACCGTAACTAAATACCCTACTCTGTGATGCTACTGCTAACAGCAGATAGCACCGCAGAGGTGTCCACTTATAACATTCATACAGAACAAAAATAGACTATGTACAACATCTGACTACCATCGGTGGAGAGACCAGGCAGGAGAAGATTACTAACACTACTAGAACAGAAACTTACAGGGATGTCAGCGATTGGAAGGATGACTGCAGGGACATGCCTGGCCGACAAGTAGGTGCGGATGTGTGTCCTGAGACTGTTGACCACGTTCTCACCAAACTCACTGCCCGGGGCCATCTTCAGGAAGAGAACAACCCTTTCGTCGAGTCCATCCTGGCTTCTCTGACTGACACACACGCTGTCCTGGATTTCCTTGAAGCCCTCGACTGGGAAATGGAATATCAGTAGAACATAGTTCAAAAACATTTAGTTGATGACCAAGTCTTCATGGCAAAGTGATTAAATAAACTGCCCCATCCTGAAATCTCGGAAACTCACGCTGTCCTGGATTATCTTGAAGCCCTCGACTGGGAAAATTGAATATCAGCAGAACTTTGTTCAAAAACATTCAGCTGATGACAAAAGGGTTTTCAGGTCACAGTGGTTAAATTATCTGCCACATCTATAGTCCATTCTGACTTTTCTAAATACGCTGTCCTGGATTTCCTTGAAGTCATTATACAAACATGTCTAAGACCTAACGCTGTCATCTAACTACACAATCTTTTGTGCTCAGTAAAACCTAACTGACTCAATACTCACCAACTTGATAAATTTCTGCACTTCCAAAACGCACACCATTTGGGTTGAGTGTACCATCACTGCATGACAGAAACATGATTCACTTGAGATACAAATATGATACTAGCAGAAATATATTTCATTTTCTGACAAAATATATATTGTTCCACCAATGTACAACAGGAAAACTCAACCATTACAATAAATACTGAGCTTACACAATAAGATGTAATACAATTTCATATAACTACACATAAGCTCATTTAGCTAGGAGAAATAAGCTGTGGCTGATCAGTTGCTAGCAAGCTTGCTTGTCTGCATAGTAATCGTAAATTTAAACCCTCACTGACAGTAATGGCAATGGTAATCGCAATTCCAACTTCATAGCAAATGGGTCACATGATACTTGCTCCGGTACTGCACCAATAAAAACCATACAGAATGTCCATTAATGTCCCTTGTGAAAAAAGCTTTACACAGACTGCTGTCTCAGCAAAACCAATAGCAAACACAGCTTTAAATGAATAAGGCAGCAGTCAGAAGTGCCAACGCAAATAGTCAGACACTAGAAATGCAGTTCATCATCAACTGAAGCAGCAGTTACACCACATCATGTACATCTGCATTGTGATGTCATGTGCTTAACATTCTTGGCATCCTTAACAACAATACTGACAGGTTTCAAGACAATGGTATGGTTACTGTCCCTGATATCACACTTTTCATTTGAAGGCCCCTCCCCCTCCCCCGCCTATATTTAAATAATGAGAATACAAAGAAAAAAATTGAACATCTTGTCTGTATTTCACTATTTTGTCAGGTGAATTACCAAATGGTAGATGGTTAAACTGGAGGTCTCCGCGGCCAAGTGGTCAAGCCATTTGCCTCGCGCTTTGAAGGTTGTGGGTTAATTTCACGAGTGCAATTTTTACGGAGATCCCTGGGGACCGTCGCCAGAGCTGCGGAGTTCATACTCTGGGCATTGCTCTCAGCAGGGAGAGCTAGCTGTTCTGCGGAGAGGGACCGAGCCACATGTGATAAAACCCATTGCAATCAAGTCAATTCTCTCAACTTTACCTTTAACTTTAGATGTTTAGACTACGCACCAAATGATAAGTCGTGTCTATTTTGTCCTCTCTTCTTTTTTATATTTTTAATCAAGTTGTATTAGTAATCTGAGGATGATGTTATTACCACTGTGGCTGTTTTCCTGTCAGACTTACTGTGAAATATTTTCTTTTTAATTTGATCATTATTTTGTGGAAAAACGTGGATAACGCACTTATAAGAAAATTACTTAAAAAGATGTGACATGTTTATACTAGGACAAACGTGCCTGAGTGTGTTTTACTAGAGATTTACATCAACATATACAAGAATGAGTTCTTTTTCCAATTATATCCACATAACACACTGTCTCTTATGACATTGTACATCTCACAAATTAGAGAATTAACATTACTTTCAGCTTCATTGACTAAATTAGAGATCTAGTTAATAAGTTAACTGACCTTCGACCCAGCATCAAGACTCCACCTGTTTTGGAATTGATCTGACAGAAATCACCATGAGCCCAGACATCTACAGAACACAAGTGTCATAGTGTCATAGCAATCAACAGACATATTTACATAATATATGTTTTCATGGTTTTCGGACAATGGTACGAGATTCACACCGTGGAAGAGACTGGGGTTTCATTATGTACACTCCCAAAGACAACACTGGTACGCAAGCCAACCTTCAATGTGGAGACAGCGCAGACATTTTTGTTTAAATATATGTTTGAAACAACTGCACACGAGCAATAAGCCAGCATTTACAAGTTGTAGGGGGGGGTGTGGGGGGGCAGGGACATGCGGGTGATGAGCATGAGGTTTTCAGGCTGCAAGCCTGGCCCAGTCCCCATGAACTGTGCAGGTCTGGGGTTTTATTTCTGCCCCAATAGGAAGAAAAAAAATCTGTTCATCCCTTACCAAGAATCGAACCTAAGCCTCTGACATGAAAGTTTATTTACTTAAATAAATGGGTATCTTGTGACAGGTAACAGCCATACTAAACACAGCTAAAGATCAGTTCTACAAAAAATGTGTGCATGTGAGCAAGTACCTTACCTCTAGAATACATACTACAGCCTGTATTAAATACACAGAGTTAAAGATTGGTTCTACAACAATGTGTAAATGTGAGCCAGTACCTAAGCTCTAGAATATATACTACAGCCTGTATTAAATACCCAGAGTTAAAGATCATTCTACAACAATGTGTAAATGCGACAAGTACTTAAGCTCTAGAATACATACTACAGCCTGTATTAATTACACAGAGTTAACAGTTGGTTCTACAACAATGCGTACTTCTGAGCAAGTACCTGATTCTACGGCCTGTATTAATATTCACTGGAAACAATGCGTACTTCTGAGCAAGTACCTGATTCTAGAATATTCACTTGAAACTTTATTAAATACACAAAGTACAGAACACTGTAGCTTCAGCCCTTAAGGGTCTCTGAAACATCTGCACTAAAGAACCGTAGAAGAGTTCAAAACAAACACACAACCTTTTAAGTGTAAGGAAAACAACTTAACATCCTTTACCACAGAGATCCTCCACACAAGAGTTAAAAAACAAAATGGTCACCTCTAAACTTGTTGAAGTAGGCCTTTCTGTACTTGGAGCCATCTTGGTCATTCCAGAAGTAAACAGGCATGGATGGGAATGGTTTCAGACACACCAGTTCCCCACTCTGGTTGTACACTGGTTTCCCTAAACAAGAATCATAGTAAAGTAAAGTGAGTAAAGATCCCTTTTCATGCCTTTAGGTGCATCTGGCATATGGGAAGAGCACCCATATTTTCACAGACCAATCGGCACTAGGTGGGTAATGTGGTCAACATTACGCCGGCCGTCTTTACTTCCCCAGGACATACATCCTGGTACCCATTTTAGGCTGGGTTGACCTGCGACGCTCCATACCATGATCAAAAACCACGCAGCCAGAAGTGGGTTTTGATCGTGGTACGTTGGAATTACGAGTCGGACTCTCAACGCCTTAGCCATGGACGCTGCTTAAACAAGAATCATAATCAGACATATTTACAATTTTAAATCATTATTAACAAGGTTAGAATTAATAAATCATTCAACAGTTAGAATTAATAAATCATTAACAATCTTAGAATTGATAAAGCATTAACACACAATTCATTACACTGTTAACAGTTAGAATTGATAAATTATCATTAACAAAGTTGGAATTCATCAATCATCATTACCAAAGTTGGAATTTATCAGTCATTAACAAAGGCATAGTTTCAACAGAAAATCACAGAAAGTGTAACAATTATAACACAAGGACCAGTTTCTATCCCTCAGGATGTTTTAGGTATTCTGCCCTGATAGAATGTATCTTTGCTTCCCCTAAAGGCCCTGGTAGAATGTATCTTTGCTTCCATTAAAGGCCCTGGTAGAATGTATCTTTGCTTCCCCTAAAGGCCCTGGTAGAATGTATCTTTGCTTCCCCTAAAGGCCCTGGTAGAATGTATCTTTGCTTCCCCCAAAGGCCCTGGTAGAATGTATCTTTGCTTCCCCCAAAGGCCCTGGTAGAATGTATCTTTGCTTCCCCTAAAGGCCCTGGTAGAATGTATATTTGCTCCCCTAAAGACCCTGGTAGAATGTATCTTTGCTTTCCCTCAGGACCCTGATAGAATGTATCTTTGCTTCCCCTAAAGGCCCTGGTAGAATGTATCTTTACTCCCCCTACAGGCCCTGGTAGAATGTATATTTGTTTCCCCTAAGGCCCTGGTTGAATGTATCTTTGCTTCCCCTAAAGGCCCTGGTAGAATGTATCTTTGCTTCCCCCTAAGGCCCTGGTAGAATGTATCTTTGCTTCTCCTAAAGGCCCTGGTACAATGTATCTTTGCTTCCCCCAAAGGCCCTGGTAGAATGTATATTTTGCTTCTCCTAAAGGCCCTGGTACAATGTATCTTTGCTCCCCCAAAGGCCCTGATAAAATGTATCTTTGTTTCCCCACAGAACGCTGACAGGGTGCAGTGATTCTATTGTTTGTTTCCCCTAAAGGAACCAGGAACTATTCGTTGTTTCCCCACAGAACGTTGACAGGGTGCAGTGATTCTATTGTTTGTTTCCCCACAGGACGCTGACAGGGTGCAGTGATTCTATTGTTTGTTTCCCCACAGAACGCTGACAGGGTGCAGTGATTCTATTGTTTGTTTCCCCTAAAGGAACCACGAACTATTCGTTGTTTCCCCCACAGGACCTTGACAGGGTGCAGTGATTCTATTGTTTGTTTCCCCTAAAGGAACCAGGAACTATTCATTGTTTCCCCCACAGGACCTTGACAGGGTGCAGTGATTCTATTGTTTGTTTCCCCTAAAGGAACCAGGAACTATTCTTTGTTTCCCCTAAAGGAACCAGGAACTATTCGTTGTTTCCCCACAGGACCCTGACAGGGTGCAGTGATTCTATTGTTTGTTTCCCCACAGGACCCTGACAGGGTGCAGTGATTCTATTGTTTGTTTCCCCACAGGACCCTGACAGGGTGCAGTGATTCTATTGTTTGTTTCCCCACAGGACCCTGACAGGGTGCAGTGATTCTATTGTTTGTTTCCCCACAGGACCCTGACAGGGTGCAGTGATTCTATTGTTTGTTTCCCCTAAAGGAACCAGGAACTATTCGTTGTTTCCCCACAGGACCCTGACAGGGTGCAGTGATTCTATTACTTGTTTCTCCTAAAGGAACCAGGAACTATTCGTTGTTTCCCCCACAGGACCCTGACAGGGTGCAGTGATTCTATTGTTTGTTTCCCCCACAGGACCCTGACAGGGTGCAGTGATTCTATTGTTTGTTTCCCCACAGGACCCTGACAGGGTGCAGTGATTCTTTTGTTTGTTTCCCCACAGGACCCTGACAGGGTGCAGTGATTCTATTGTTTGTTTCCTCACAGGACCCTGACAGGGTGCAGTGATTCTATTGTTTCCCCTAAAGGAACCAGGAACTATTCGTTGTTTCCCCACAGGACCCTGACAGGGTGCAGTGATTCTATTCTTTGTTTCCCCTAAAGGAACCAGGAACTATTCGTTGTTTCCCCCACAGGACCCTGACAGGGTGCAGTGATTCTATTGTTTGTTTCCCCCACAGGACCCTGACAGGGTGCAGTGATTCTATTGTTTGTTTCCCCACAGGACCCTGACAGGGTGCAGTGATTCTTTTGTTTGTTTCCCCACAGGACCCTGACAGGGTGCAGTGATTCTATTGTTTGTTTCCCCACAGGACCCTGACAGGGTGCAGTGATTCTATTGTTTGTTTCCCCACAGGACCCTGACAGGGTGCAGTGATTCTATTGTTTGTTTCCCCACAGGACCCTGACAGGGTGCAGTGATTCTATTGTTAGTTTCCCCACAGGACCCTGACAGGGTGCAGTGATTCTATTGTTTGTTTCCCCACAGGACCCTGACAGGGTGCAGTGATTCTATTGTTTGTTTCCCCACAGGACCCTGACAGGGTGCAGTGATTCTATTGTTAGTTTCCCCACAGGACCCTGACAGGGTGCAGTGATTCTATTGTTTGTTTCCCCACAGGACCCTGACAGGGTGCAGTGATTCTATTGTTTGTTTCCCCACAGGACCCTGACAGGGTGCAGTGATTCTATTGTTTGTTTCCCCTAAAGGAACCAGGAACATCTGGATGCATGTCCCATTCACATATAAACAAATCATTATTCAAAAGCATATTGGGGCACACCATGTTAATATTCCCATAGTTAACAGTGGGTATATTGGAGCCAAACTCCACTGGGAAGATGGCACAATTTGTTTTCATTCACAAAAATATAATAACAAAAATAGCACAGAAGCTATATGAAATTTTTATCTCATAGTTCATGTGTTATAATAACAAAAATAGCGCAGAAGCTATATGAAATCTTTATCTTATAGTTCATGTGTTATAATAACAAAAATAGCGCAGAAGCTATATGAAATCTTTATCTTATAGTTCATGTGTTACAATAACAAAAATAGCGCATAAGCTTTAACTTATAGTTCATGTGTTATAATTAAAAAAATAGCGCAGAAGCTATATGAAATCTTTATCTCATAGTTTATGTGTTATAATAACAAAAATAGCGCAGAAGCTATATGAAATCTTTATCTCATAGTTCATGTGTTATAATAACAAAAATAGCGCAGAAGCTATATGAAATCTTAATCTCATAGTTCATGTGTTATAATAACAAAAATAGCGCAGAAGCTATATGAAATCTTAATCTCATAGTTCATGAGTTACAATAACAAAAATAGCGCAGAAGCTATATGAAATCTTTAACTTATAGTTCATGTGTTATAATAACAAAAATAGCGAAGAAGCTATATGAAATCTTTAACTTATAGTTCATGTGTTATAAAAACAAAAATAGCGAAGAAGCTATATGAAATCTTTAACTTATAGTTCATGTGTTATAATAACAAAAATAGCGAAGAAGCTATATGAAATCTTTATCTTATAGTTCATGTGTTATAATAACAAAAATAGCGAAGAAGCTATATGAAATTTTTAACTTATAGTTCATGTGTTATAATAACAAAAATAGCGAAGAAGCTATGTGAAATCTTAATCTCATAGTTCATGTGTTATAATAACAAAAATAGCGCAGAAGCTATATGAAATCTTTATCTCATAGTTCATGTGTTATAATAACAAAAATAGCGCAGAAGCTATACGAAATCTTTATCTCATAGTTCATGTGTTATAATAACAAAAATAGCGCAGAAGCTATATGAAATCTTAATCTCATAGTTCATGTGTTATAATAACAAAAATAGCGCAGAAGCTATATGAAATCTTTAACTTATAGTTCATGTGTTATAATAACAAAAATAGCGCAGAAGCTTTAACTTATAGTTCATGTGTTATAATAACAAAAATAGCGCAGAAGCTATATGAAATCTTTATCTCATAGTTCATGTGTTATAATAACAAAAATAGCGCAGAAGCTATATGAAATCTTTAACTTATAGTTCATGTGTTATAATAACAAAAATAGTGCAGAAGCTATATGGAATCTTTAACTTATAGTTCATGTGTTATAATAACAAAAATAGCGCAGAAGCTATACGAAATCTTAATCTCATAGTTCATGTGTTATAATAACAAAAATAGCGCAGAAGCTATATGAAATCTTTATCTTATAGTTCATGTGTTATAATAACAAAAATAGCGCAGAAGCTATACGAAATCTTAATCTCATAGTTCATGTGTTATAATAACAAAAATAGCGCAGAAGCTATATGAAATCTTTAACTTATAGTTCATGTGTTATGAGCTATGATAACATGGACTTAAAGATACAAATGTCATGTAGCTTCTGCACTGTTTATAGTATTTTAGTCCAGCCAAGCAGTGTGGCAATGGTCATCCTGTCTACTGACACTTTCTGTTGGATGTACTATAGATTATTTCTGATACAGATGTTCTTCCATGCTGAGCCAAACTGTCCAACATCTTCTCTTGCTTGGTTTCTCAATTTCCCTCTTTCTTGCCAAATTTCTTCTTATCATGATGCAATCCAGTTATCCATTTTCCGTGTGCCTAAAGGGTGTACAAGGTATTATGATGTGGGTATCATTTTCAAGAGATGCTGAGGTAGGTAAGCCATACACAAAACTGCGGGTTCAGTCCAATGAGATATGGCTTTTTTCTAACTAACAATTGTTACTGGACTCTGAATGGTCTAATCCACTATTTCTAAACCAGGGGTGAGCAAACTATAGTCTGTGGGTTAAAACTGGCCCGTCGAGCATTTAATTTCTGAACCACAAGGCTGGTGCAAAATTACTATATAATTTGACCCTTGAGCTCACAGAATAAAAGAACACATAGTTCATATGCAGAAAGAAATTGAAATCTATAGAAGGATCTCAGGGGTGAGCATCTGTCCGGAGGCATAGTATGGCCTTATCATCTTAGATTATCCCACAAAACTATTGTGTTATGAGGAAATCTGGATGTTATGCTTATGTGTTTGTTTTTTTTTCTATATATCTCGCAACCAGGTTGGTAAAACTAAATTTGGCTTGCAGAATGGAAAATAAAAAGGTTACCCACCCCTGCTCTTAACAATCTCTTGAGAGATGACAACTTGGTCATCTTCAGTAATGATTGACAACAACAACAACTTCCTCACACAGAACACAGACATCTCTCACCTGCTTCATCCCAGCTCTGCATGTCACAGCCCAGAAACAAACCCTGGATCTCTCCCTTGTACACAGGCACAGTCCAGTTGTGGCCCATAAAACATGCAATGATGTCTGTACCTCCTGCAAACATCCGAATAACAAATGGACAATGCCAAATAGCAAAACAACCATTTCTTCTAGAAACATAAAATGATGTCTCCACCTCCAGCAAACATAGAATATTAATTAAAGAGACCATACTAATGGGAAAACGCCCAATTCCTCATGAAACATAAAATAATGTCTGTATCTCATAGAAATGTGCAATATATTTTGTTTTCAGAGATATAAACTTTAAAAACAAAACAAAACTCATTTCTAGCACTGAGGTATACAAAAAAAGGTAAAGGTAAAGTCGGGAGACATGAACCAGCGCCATTGCACACGGTTATAAACCATAAGTGCTCTGCCACCAGTACGGACAGCTGATAAGAATTGTCCACCTGTGTCGCCGTTCGCATGTAACTTTGTAGCTACAGCGACATTCCTCCATTTACCCCAGAGTGTCAATTCTGGTACCCATTTCCTAAAGGCTGGGTGAACCCCGGGAACCACCCGGTTTCGAACACTCACCGTGGGCTGCAGTGAGTCGCAGCTGGATTTGAAAGCTAGCCTTTTATCGACTGCGCTAACGCGGCCCAGATAACGCTAACTGAGGTATACTGGGTATATGATACTAGCCCTATTCTATTACAGACCTTAAAGCATCTGACAGCAAACACATCAGATACTAATACTGATTCAATGAGTATGATCCGGAGGGTTCAGTGTGAAGACAATGGCTTGAATCATTACAGAAGTCTACTGTGCGTGGAGTCACCTTTATTTTTGTTCCAGGACACGCAGGCGTTGATGGAAATGAAAGAGCTGACAGGTTGGCTGGATCCGCTATCACTACCGACGGTCAGCCTATGGATTATGCTGATATTATCAATGCCCTCAGAGAAATGGGAAGGATAGACGACTTTGGTGGCAGTGAATCCACATTACTCGCCAGAATGGCAGACTTGGGAATTAAGATCGGCACGGCAAAAAACGAGACGCACACCAGACATGCCAGAAGACTTGTTAATCAACATAGAACTGGTACTATTAGCCATGGGACGTTGGGGTTCATACTGAGGGGAGGATCTGAGCACCTATGGACATGTCTGGAGTGCAATGAGGATAACCCAACTAACTAACTAACATCAGATACTAATCACAAAAAACATGAGATTTACAGCAAACATACCAGATACTGATCCCAACAAAACATCAAATTTACAGCAAACATACCAGATACTGATCCCAACAAAACATCAAATTTACAGCAAACATACCAGATACTGATCCCAACATAACATCAAATTTACAGCAAACATACCAGATACTGATCCCAACAAAACATAAAATTTACAGCAAACATACCAGATACTGTGATCCCAACAAAACATCAAATTTACAGCAAACATACCAGATACTGATCCCAGCAAAACATAACATTTACAGCAAACATACCAATATTGTGATCCCAACAAAACATCAAATTTACAGCAAACATACCAGATACTGATCCCAACAAAACATCAAATTTACAGCACACATACCAGATATGGATCCCAACAAAACATCAGATTTGATGTCCCTGTACACGTATTCAAAGCTCTGGGGTTTCAGAGGTGAGCCAGTGGACAGGATGGCTTTCAGCGACTGCAGGTTGTGTGTGGTTTCTATCAACACAACAAAACAACATTGTTACTGTATTTATAAGCTGATTAAATGTCTATCCAAACAAATTATTTTTTTTTAATACAAAAAAAAAAAATTCAGCTTTATAGGATCAATTAAAGTAGACAAAAAGAAAGGATATTGTGGTCATTAGTCTTCATCAACATAACAAAGATACAGACCCTGGCTACTGCTAATAATAATAATCATAATAACAGGTTTGTTTTTTCCCTTAGTGGTGTAAAAGCATAGTTGTCAACTAGGAAATCTGCACTCAGTAGCTAAATAACACCGGACTGAGCTGGATTCATCTGTAAAATTCACAAAAGTAAAACAAACAAAACCGAACCGCTGGTATTAGCCGCAGAAACCGGTATAGATCTTAACTAGTTACAATACAAGATATGTGCTAAATCATCTCATTCCTGTTATGCCGTTTAACAAAGGGCTATCAGTTGAAGTCTTATAATCAAAACTACCCTGTGCAATCCCTTCAATATCACAGATAGAATCTAGTCCAGCACTTCTGACCTCTTTCGAGACCCTCAATGGTTATGGTTGAGTATGAAAGTACATGAGGTGGGAGAGCTGGCGAGAGACTGACTTTCTTTCAGGCAGACTGTGATGGGAGCAATGTTCTGCAAAGGACCTGCAACAAGATGATGATTAAATGGTTATAGAATTATTACATTACAGAATACATTCAGTCAGATTCTGGAAAAGATAGTGGCAGGCAAAATACAGGACTACCCAGAAAAACCAACTTTTGCCGAGAGGGTTAGGAAGTTACCGACCAAGAAAGGACAGATGCAGCGATTCTGGCTTACGATGTATGTGAGGTGTTTCATAAGCATGAAACAGAGAGCACTGGTGGCACTGGATCTAGAACATACATATAACAGGGTTAGAGATGATGTTTTACTGAATACACTTATGGATATGGAGATCAGTTCCTCAATCGTCAACTGGACTGCAGCAGTCCTGCATGAAGGGCAGACTGCTTTACACCTGGGCTTTAGGAGCTCTGAACCAAGTAGTATCGCATCTGGCCTTCCACAGCTCCACCATTTCCTCTGTGCTTTTTAATGTATACACAAGCAGGGTAGCAGGATTAGAGACACTGAGTAGTAGGAAGAATCTGGACTTTTGCTAAAGATGTCTTAGTCTACACACAGGGCAGAAATAGAAGAGAAATATCTAGGGAGCAGCAGTTCATGGTAGATAAGGTGGATAAGTAGTCTGAGGTAACAGGATCAGTCATCAACCCCAGACAAGGGAGGAGTACTGTAGTGTTCTTTGAATAACAAAACTGTTTAGAGACGTGATGCCGAACATCACAATAAACGGCAGTAACATAAAGAAAGATAATTCACTACAATATCTAGGAATTACTTTTAACATGAGTCTGCCCTTTAAATACCACATGGAAGAGGTAGTTTGAGAAACCAGGTAAAGGACTCAATGTTTTGAAAATAAATAATAGCATTAGCGGACATGGAACAGAAAATGCTCTATACACTCTACCAGTAACTGATCAATTCGGTGATGTAGTATGGTTTGGGACTGCTAACACTCATCCAGAGGGTTCGGCCGCCCCATTACGCTCAGAGAAAAGGCAAGACGGACATACAACCAGACTACGATTGGCACCATTAGTATTGGAACTCTGCGGTGGCTGCTTAGGATGGGGACGGAGCGCATATGGAAATGCCCCAAATGCTGTAATGTCAATTCTTGACTCAACTCAACTCAATTCTGCTCATGATTTGTCCAATATATTGTCATCTTCTCTGTCTAATAACTGAATAATAGCGTCGATAAAGACTAATTTGATCAGATTACTGTCAGAAGACATCACAGATGACAGACAAGATAATCAGAGATGATATATAAACAATGCAAATACCACACATATTTCTCCTTACTAAGTTGCTCCTCATCTACTTTTACTAGATCCTGGCATGCAAACAAAACCTTCCTGTTTTCGCAGACAATGGCACTGATTAAAACTAAAGATAGGCCGACTGTAGTCATCATCATTTTTCTCTTATCCTCATCAGGAGGTAACACACACACACATATATATATACATCCGCAAAATCAGGTTTAACCAACTGAGCTAGCGAGCCAGACACATACATATAGACAACACAAAAATACCAGTAGAAGTCTTACTTGGGTGTACTCCTTTATCCTCCAACACAGACAACCATTTGGCTCCAGTCCCCAGAATTGTTACCCTAAAATAACAAATGCAATAATCATAAGCCTTTCTTCTTGCTCTAAGTTCGCCCCTGAGTGTGGTTGGCACTTTGCTGTGGTTTACAGTAAGGCTGAGATATCTTCCACTTTTGGCCCAACACATCACATTTCTGCAAACCTCTAATGAGTCACCTTTCACAACACACTTTTCAGGGGAGCAATGTGTTTTATTTCCCACAACATGAGGCCCAGGGACATTTTGAACCCATGATGAAGTCAAGTTAAGGGCCCATCTTCATGTCTGGGGCAGGCTTATTGCATGCACTGTAAAGAAACACAGAGGTTCCAGTCTGTACCTTGAAGTTGACTAGCCACATGGTACCAGCAGCATACTGTTAAATGTTCATGTTGGTGAAAACTTTAAACAAAGATGGAAAGTTCTAGTGTTTATTCGCTTCTGGTCCTTCGTCTTGTTACAGAGCTTGAGTTTTGTGTGTATATCCGTTTTACAGATCTAGCTTATTTCTAAGCAGGCTGTTGGTTCCTTGTTTCTTAGCAGAGGTACTCTGACTTTGAAGAAAACAGACCTAAATAGTTGCCTTTCACAGCATGTTTGTTAATACCACACAGCATGAACTAACACACCACGCAGCATGAACTTATACCACACGGTATGAACTAACACCACATGGCATGAACTAACACCACATGGCATGAACTAACACCACATGGCATGAGCTAACACCACACGGCATAAGCTAACACCACATGGCATGAACTAACACCACATGGCATGAACTAACACCACATGGCATGAACTAACACCACATGGCATGAACTAACACCACATGGCATGAACTAACACCACACTGCATGAAGTTACACCACACTGCATGAACTAACACCACACAGCATGAACTTATACAACACAGCATGAACTTACACCACACTGCATGAACTAACACCATACAGTATGAACTAACACCACACGGCATGAACTATTAGATCTTCTTCTTCTTAGCATTCACCAGCTGTAAACTTCTGTGGAAAGTTCTGGTAGTTCACCCACTTCTGGACTTTAGTCTTAGTCTAGAACTTGAATTTTGCATGCACATTCATTTACACATCTAGCTTACTTGAAAGCAAACTGCTTCTACCTCACTGCTCAGGCAGAGGCACTCTGACTTCGAAGAAAAAGTCCCTAATTAGTCCCCTCTGACAATATGGTTGTTAAGGAGGCAGTGGGTCTAGTCTTCTTACCCCGAAAATGGGCCCCAGGAACCCACACAGGAAAAAAAGGTGTTCATGGTCAAAGATTCTTCTTGTCAAAGCAAACAGCCAACTTACCCAATTTCATCCACCAAATCCCAAAGAATGTTTGCGTGAGGCACCAGTGGAGATCCATCATACAACAAGATAGAAGCTCCTACAGCCAGGGCAGACACCATCCAGTTCCACATCATCCAGCCAGCCTGTCAGGACAGAAAGTCAAATGTCTATTCTATGTTACAACAACAATTATCTTCTACACTCCGTAAATGCATCTGTTGTTTTCTTTTCCTACAAAATTTGATTCATGTTTTACGTGATTTGACCTGGTTTAGTTTTTCTATATTATTTGCTCAGGTTCAGTTTTCTATATGCTTTGGCGTGGTTTCGTTTTTCGGTTCTTTTCTGCTATTTCACCCCGTCTGTGATATTTGGTAGGGAATTCCTAGGGAGTTCCCCAGGCAGTCCTATAATATAGGGGGGTTAGGGTTAGCGTTAGGTAAATCTTCTGCTTCTTTTGTGTGCCTGAAATAAGATTATCTGTATCTACAATGTTGTCACAAGAATGAAGTTCACTGTCTTGTGTAATTCACTCAGCGACCCGTAAAGCTCAGCTTGAACCGGTGCCCTAATAGGGTCATCTTAGGGTGGCAGCGTGGAAGGACCCTGAAAAGGACAGACAGTCTCCATGTATGTATACTGATGGGTTAGGGTTAGGGTTAGATGCAGTGATGCTGACAGGTCAAGGAACTCTCATTGTGAATTAAGAACACCGCTTCCAAACAGGGCACAATGGTGACAATGAATGAACGCAAGCAACACACACTGGACACCATGACACAATTAACTATGAAAACAACCAACACATGACAGCTCTAGAATATAGAAGTTGTTTTAGGGTTAGTGTTAAATGAACATCAACTAACATTAACCCATACTATAGGACTGTCCAGGCAAACTCTCTAGGCATTCCCTGCAAAATCTCTGAACCCCGAGATGGGAAGAAATAAATGGGAAAGAACCAGTTTTTCTAAACGATTTGACCAGTTTTGGTTTTTTTCTATGTGATTTGTCTAGGCTTAAATTTTCTGTACAATTGTTTCTGTGTTTTCTATAGGATTTCTGCTACAGGTGTCTCTAAGACGACTGTAACAAAGTCATTCAGAGGCAGTCTTCAAATATCTGTCTGCTATACATGCTCTTAAGAACAGCTGTCTCTCACAATATGCATATCATAAAAGATGACTAATAAGGGTTGGCAAGAAACAAATGGGGGCTATATACTTACAGTTGTGTAATAAAGAAGAACATCACTGCAATCCATATTTCCTTGTATGACATGTTCCTCCAAGTGTTTGATTAGTGTACCCTAGCAGATAAGACAAATACATTGGTGTTATCTGGTTATTTACATTTCTAAGGTCACAGAGAATGGGTTACCCCATAAAGGCTCCATTCCTGTGCCAGAGGAAACCGCACAGAATCCCTACTGCTTGCTGCCCCTGGTGAAAAAACTCAGCAAAGCCAATTTCCTACACAAGCATTCAGAAGTGCTAACACAAACACTCTGCTACCAGAACTGCAGTTTATCGTCGATCAGAGCAGCAATTACAACAAATCAGCAGTTGCACACGCAATTAAACACATAGGCACCACCAGTTCTATGGCAACAGGCCACTCACAATTTTCTGAATCTGCAGTTCACATTCATGTCCACAGACATCTATATGTGTAATCCAGCACGTATTACTGCTACTGTACGTTGCTCTTATCACCACTTCAACAGAATACACCATGCCTATGTCTTTTCTGCCTACACTTAGCTATTTCTGAGCAGTCTTGGCAGTATGCTCAGTGTAGAGAGGTTCAGGTGGCTGGGTCACACCTGGAGAATGGAGATTGGCAGAGTCCCTAAGGACATCCTCCAAGGTGAATTACAGATGAGAAAACATGTCAAGGCCGACCTCTAGTATGATGTAAAGATGTGTGCAAGACGAACATGAATGATACAGGTAATGAGGTGGATTCTTGAAAACAAAATGCCATGGACCATGTTACATGGAGGGAGTACGTCAGGAAGGGAATTAGAATGAAGAAAGAAATGGCTGAAGAAGGGATGAGAGCTGAATGTCTGAGACGAAAGACACTAAACACAAATTACAACAACAACGGTCCTGAAATCAATCACTATAATTGGGGAATACTTTTCATAACGCAGGCGGGTCTTGCTAGTCACACTCGCCATCTCCAGGAGCTGTGAGTCTCATGCCGCCTCATAGCACAAGATAACACTATGATCTGGAAAGACGGAAAGGTGCCAATCATTTACCTATTTCTAGGTCGGTGTCAGTCAGAAGTGTCTTGAACCTGAGGATTTAGAGTCACATGGCTAGTGCAGCTGCCACGGAATGTGCCAGGTAGGATTTCTGTTCCCACCCTACAGAAAGATCCACCAACTTAGAGTATTTTAACCTGTGTCTCATAAATGAGAGCCCAGTGTTCCTCATCGCTCAGCCAGCCACCTCTCACACCAGACTACACAGGAGCAAACATCTTCAGAACTAAAGTCCGTCCGCACACAATACTCGTGTGAACAAACAGGTCAGACAGAGCTTGCAAGCAGCGGGGGTGTTTTCTCTGAGATGAGTGGTGTGAATGCTTCAAACCAGTGGTTCTCAACCTTCCTAATGCAGCAACCCTTCAATACAGTTCCTCATGGTGTGGCAACCCTCAACCATACAATTTTTTTTTGTTGCTACTTCATAACTTCAGTGAATGTGTGTTTTCCGATGGTCTAAGGCGCACACCTGTGAAAGGGTCATTCGACCCACACACCAAAAAGTCACAAGCCACAGGTTAAGAACCACTGCAATAGACAGCCAGCCAGCGTGACTAATGATTGTTTAGAAAGGCTAATGCAATGAGAATATCTTATGTGTTAACCCTGAGAAAGGCCATTGTGTTGTACTTTACAACCAGACTTTCAGCCCAACACTTCTAATTTTAGTACCTAATCTGAAGCCCATTATGACATGCTTGTTAGGGGGCAATGAGTCCATTATTTTTTCTTTTGGAATGGGGTCTCAGACACAGAAAGCAGAACAAAATTTGTAACTGTAAACAAGGGATAAACTATTCTTTATTCATATGATGAGACTAAAGACATTGGAAAACAGCAGGGCAACTGGAAAAATTTAAGCTGAAGATGTAACAAAGAGAACTGATGCTGGATGATCTCAGAACAGGATTGATACCAAGCACCGCCCGGCTCTCTAGCGCACTTGGCTCTAACCTGATTCCGCGGAGACTGGGTGACGAACTCCTTGTGGTCTGGGTTCAATCCCGGGGGTAGGCAGAAAAGCCACATTTCTCCCAGATTTACGGTATTTACAATAGAATCAAGGATGAAAGGTTGCGATATCTATAATACCGAGCCTAAGGGTTAACAACTCATGGCTTCTGGATACTAAAGCAAACAAAACATACCAAGCACCAGAGACATAGATATAGATCTGTGGAGAAGCGGATGATCTAAGAACAGGACTGATTCTAAACACCAGAGACATAGATACAGATCTGTGGAGAAGATGATGATCTAAGAACAGGATTGGTTCCAAACACAACAGATCTGTGGAGAAGATGATGATCTAAGAACAGGATTGGTTCCAAACACAACAGATCTGTGGAGAAGATGATGATCTAAGAACAGGATTGGTTCCAAACACAACAGATCTGTGGAGAAGCGGATGATCTAAGAACAGGATTGGTTCCAAACACAACAGATCTGTGGAGAAGCAGATGATCTAAGAACAGGATTGATTCCAAACACAACAGATCTGTGGAGAAGCAGATGATCTAAGAACAGGATTGATTCTAAACACCAGAGACATAGATACAGATCTGTGGAGAAGATGATGATCTAAGAACAGGATTGGTTCCAAACACAACAGATCTGTGGAGAAGATGATGATCTAAGAACAGGATTGGTTCCAAACACAACAGATCTGTGGAGAAGATGATGATCTAAGAACAGGATTGGTTCCAAACACAACAGATCTGTGGAGAAGATGATGATCTAAGAACAGGATTGGTTCTAAACACAACAGATCTGTGGAGAAGCGGATGATCTAAGAACAGCATTAATTCCAAACACCATATACATAGATACAGATCTGTAGAGAAGTGGATGATCTAAGAACAGCACTGACTCCAAACACCAGAGACACAGACAAAATCTGTAGAGAAGCCGATGATCTAAGAACAGCATTGATTCCAAAGACATATATACAGATCTGTGGAGAGGCGATAATGTGTAAATCCAGTGTTTCTCAAACATTTCTTGGTCGCGGCGCCTTTTTTTTCAATAAACAAATTTCCACGGCGCCCTAACCTAATTAAAAGTATGAGTATTTGTGTCTTGGTTAAATTCATTATGAAGATTTTGCAATATTTCACGGCGCCCCATGAAGAGGTCGCGGTTTCCCAGGCGCCGCGGCGCACAGTTTTGGAATCACTGTGTAAATCAATTGGCAAAGCACAGGATAATGATTATATATTAGTTTAAGGGATTGAGGAAAAGAGTTTTGATGAGCATGAGCAGTTTTGATGTGTTTACAATAAGCAGAGACACTGTGTCAACAAGCCTTCATACATAAAGTACAACAAAAAGCACTACAGGACATAGTACCAAGGACAGGAATTAATACATTACTGAAGAAATTTGCACAAAACAGACATGCAGAGATCTATAAATTCAGACATACATGTAATTAACAATAGTCGGCAATATTTGCACTTTTCTGTCTTTTCAGCCAGTTGTGTTTCCCTGTACTACAGGGAGGCATGGGGAACCACGGCCCACCTTCTTCTTCCTTTTCTTCTACAGCATTCCGAGCCCTTCAAGTTCATTGCTGCAGATATCACCTGCCTCCATTCATCTCTTTGGTTGGCCTTCTCTCAGTTGGTGACACCAGTGTTTGCAGGTCTGTCTGGATATTATCTCTCCATTGTCTTCTTGGTCTGCCTCGTGGTCTATGACCAATCAGCTCCCTGGTGTATACAGTTTTTACTTCTATCTCATCTGACATTCTTTCAGTATGCCCAGCAATTTCAGTCTATTAGCTCGCATGATGCCAGTGATCAATGGTGATTTAAACAGATTATGAATTTCGTTGTTGCTTCTCACTCTCCTTTCCCCGCTGTTTGCATCTTTGGTGGATTCAACAATTTGTCGTAAGACTATAAAAAAAAATTTGTAACAAGACTTCATCTCTTTTAGTTGTGCTCCAGTTTTCACAGCCATATAAAACAACTAGTCTTATCAATGTTTTATATATTTTGATCTTGATGTTGCGAGACAGAGACTTTGACTTTAGCAGATGGGAAGGGCATTGTACACTCTATATCCAAATTGTATTCTAGATTGTATTTCTTCTCTCAGCATATTGGAGCAGTTGAAGTTTGTACCCAAGTACTTATAAGTTTCCGTTAATTTGATTGTAATATTATCGACTTGTATGTGGCCGCAGTTTACCCTTTCGTGTCTTGTCATTGTCATGTATTTTCTGTAAAGATATCAATGTCATCTGCATAACTAAGTATTCTTGTAGTTTCTCCTTTAGTACAGTACTCTTTCAATTTTCTTATAATTTTCTCTAGGATCAAGTTAAAAAGAAGTGGGAACAGAGCATCACATTGTTTTAAACCAGATATTTGAAAAGGGTCTGACTTTATGCCTTAATATGTTACTACATTATAAGTATCTTCGATACATAGTTTGGTCATGGTAATTAACTTCTTTAGTCTTCAAAAGACCTTCATAATATTCCATAAACTGTTTCTATGTACACTATCATACGCTTTTTTTAAATCTACAAAAACATTATGTACAACATCTCTTCTGCATTCCCAGTTTTGCTCAGCTATTTGCCGTAAATTGAATACTATCTGTTCTGTTGGAAACCCACTCAGTAATCATCCAATATGTCTTCGACGTATGGTTTTAACCTGTTTAGCCATACCGCTACTATATTAAGGCGTAAATAGTGCAGACATCACAGCCTAGCTGTAAACCATAATACTTTGTGCCAGCCACCATTCTTAAGAGTAAGTGCAGAAGCAGAAGATAATGACTGCAATGAAGATGATGCTTATTAGAGGAAACAATAAATATTCCATACGTTAAAAACCCCAGCAGCATAGAAAGACAAAAAAACTTACCCCAACAGAATGCACCATGCACTTAGGAACACCCGTTGTTCCTGATGAATACATGATATACAGTGGGTGGTTGAAGGGCACCTGCTCAAAACTCAGTTCAGGAACTCCCCCATCTTTCGTAGCACCTTGCAAAAAATCTGCCAGTGACACACTGATGATATAAAGAACTGAAAGTTAGCAAACATGTGTACACATTTCTTCTTCTTCTTCATTGTCTTCATTGCTGGCCTGAAAGATAGAGGTCAAATCTGAATCGAGTCAGATTTTTTTTCTTCTTTAAAATTTACCTTGGCTGCAGAATATCCTGGGAAGTAAAGGTGGCTGGCAGGATGTTCACCACATCACTCCTGAGTGCAGACCGGTCTATACAAACACAGGTCAAGCACTACATGCATAATCTGCCAAAGGCTTGAAAAGGCTTTTTTATTTGCTAAATTATAGTGAAGTAGAGGGGAGGAACTGAGTTAGATTCAAGGCCTATTATAACTGCTGCTGTCCACTGGTACTCTGATCACTGTTTGTTTCAGTTAGATCATATTTGTAGGTTCTCAACTCAAGGAACCAACTCTATAACACCAACCAGAAGCCCAAATATGTGTAAATCTTCTTCTTCATTGTTCCCCCTTAAAACCGTGGCCGGCATGTTATTGTCATTTAGAGATAGGTTGTGATAGCTGCACTTTTTCGCCCAATATATCCGATTTCACAAAATGCTTAATTAGTTGCCTTGTGAGAGGGCTTGTGCATCTATTCTCAGCTCTCCCATGGTGCCATGAAACCAGCATGGTGAGAGGGCTTGTGCATCTATTCTCAGTTCTACCATGGTGCCATGAAACCAGCATGGTGAGAGGGCTTGTGCATCTATTCTCAGTTCTACCATGGTGCCATGAAACCAGCATGGTGAGAGGGCTTGTGCATCTATTCTCAGTTTTACCATGGTGCCATGAAACCAGCATGGTGAGAGGGCTTGTGCATCTATTCTCAGCCCTTCCATGGGACCATGAAACCAGCATGGTGAGAGGGCTCGTGTATCTATTCTCAGCCCTTCCATGGGACCATGAAACCAGCATAGTGAGAGGGCTCGTGTATCTATTAGCAGCCCTTCCATGGGGCCATGAAACCAGCCTGGTGAGAGGGCTTGTACACCTATTCTCAGTTCTACCATGGTGCCATGAAACCAGCATGGTGAGAGGGCTTGTGCATCTATTCTCAGTTCTACCATGGTGCCATGAAACCAGCATGGTGAGAGGGCTTGTGCATCTATTCTCAGTTTTACCATGGTGCCATGAAACCAGCATGGTGAGAGGGCTTGTGCATCTATTCTCAGCCCTTCCATGGGGCCATGAAACCAGCATGGTGAGAGGGCTTGTGCATCTATTCTCAGCTCTTCCATGGGACCATGAAACCAGCATAGTGAGAGGGCTCGTGTATCTATTAGCAGCCCTTCCATAGGGCCATGAAACCAGCATGGTGAGAGGGCTCGTGTATCTATTAGCAGCCCTTCCATGGGGGTCATGAACCAGCATGGTGAGAGGGCTTGTACACCTATTCTCAGCTCTCCCATGGGCAAATAAAACCAGCATAGTGAGAGGGCTTGTACACCTATTCTCAGCTCTCCCATGGGCAAATAAAACCAGCATAGTGAGAGGGCTTGTACACCTATTCTCAGCTCTCCCATGGGCAATAAAACCAGCATAGTGAGAGGGCTTGTACACCTATTCTCAGCTCTCCCATGGGCAAATAAAACCAGCATGGTGAGAGGGCTTGTACACCTATTCTCAGCTCTCCCATGGGCAAATAAAACCAGCATAGTGAGAGGGCTTGTACACCTATTCTCAGCTCTCCCATGGGCAAATAAAACCAGCATAGTGAGAGGGCTTGTACACCTATTCTCAGCTCTCCCATGGGCAAATAAAACCAGCATAGTGAGAGGGCTTGTACACCTATTCTCAGCTCTCCCATGGGCAAATAAAACCAGCATAGTGAGAGGGCTTGTACACCTATTCTCAGCTCTCCCATGGGCAAATAAAACCAGCATAGTGAGAGGGCTTGTACACCTATTCTCAGCTCTCCCATGGGCAAATAAAACCAGCATAGTGAGAGGGCTTGTACACCTATTCTCAGCTCTCCCATGGGCAAATAAAACCAGCATAGTGAGAGGGCTCGTGCATCTATTCTCAGCCCTTCCATGGGGGTCATGAACCAGCATGGTGGGAGGGCTTGTACACCTATTCTCAGCTCTCCCATGGGCAAATAAAACCAGCATAGTGAGAGGGCTTGTACACCTATTCTCAGCTCTCCCATGGGCAAATAAAACCAGCATGGTGGGAGGGCTTGTACACCTATTCTCAGCTCTCCCATGGGCAAATAAAACCAGCATAGTGAGAGGGCTTGTACACCTATTCTCAGCTCTCCCATGGGCAAATAAAACCAGCATGGGGAGAGGTCCCTTATAACTGATACTTTCAATTACTGCTGTGATCGCTGTTTACTTTAGATCACATTAGTAAGTTCTCAACTCAATAAACTAACTCTGCGTTGTGAATCAGGAGCCCTAATATATGTAAACGAACATAGGACATAGCCTGAATGTTGCCCGGGGTAATAAAGCAAATAACAGTAGCACGGTTAGCTATCATGCATGTCATAATAGGCTGGTGTAAGATTGGCCACCTTGACATCCTCACCAGCACAGGACTGCAGGTAACGCCTGGCTGGTGAAGCCATTATAGGTGCCGTAATTTTACATTCTTTAGAGGCTTAACAGATCATCTTAGATATGCCTTGTTGGTCAGCTGTCCAGATGGAGATTGTTCAATCTCAGGATGGTACAGTAAACTTTAGGTAACGCCCGGAGCAGACAAAACAATCGATCCATTGCTTGGCTGTCTCATCCTGTTTAAAACTTTAGTGCACTTTAACAAATGGCCTGGCATGAGTTAGCAGTGGGCTTTTGCTCCCTTAGGAAATAAAAAAAAGAAGGACAAGGAAGGAAGGAGAGAGACGGAAGGAAAAAGGATAAGGAAGAAGAAGGTGGTGACAGTGGCAGGGTGGCAGCATCAGACTACACACCTAAAGGCATTTACTAAAATTGGCGGAGGCTATGACAATTAAAAGAGAATATAAATAAGAAAACATGAATTAACTTTTACCTCAGAGGTATACTGGTCAGATCTACATGGAAGTCTTCAACAAATGGAATTACAACAACCCTCTCTAACTCTGGCAAACCTGTATATAAAACAATAGTGACAATAATTAGACATGTAATCATGAAGATGGCTTTATAAATGAAGAACCTTTTGAACAATAAATCCATGTCATTAGAGGTTATAAAAAGAATTCTTGCAAGCTATATAGAGCCAGTCTTAACATACGGCTGTGAATCACTAACAATTTATAAACAGGCTGAACAATTTCTTGAGGCCTCGGAGATGTGGTTTTACAGAAGAATCCTTATAATTCCTTGGACAGCTAAGAGAAGTAACAGATGTTTTGAAAGAGGCAGGCTCTCAAAGACAACAACACAAATATCATGTTATGAAAAGATGAAAAATGGAACATGTTGTAAGCACTGGAAAGATCTGTGGAAAAATAGACAGGAGAAGACAGTGCAGGAAGATTTTTGACAGTCTTTTGTCATGGCATGGAGTGTTGTCAACACACGAACTGATACATGCAGTTGTGGATCACAGATTGTGGAGAGGCATGATCGCCCATGCCAGTCAGCAAGGCACTTGATGATGATGATGAATCATGAAAAACATATTTTTTTTCCAGCTATTCATATAATCTTAGCAGTCTGACTGTGAGATTATATCAGTAAGGACATCCCTGGTTTATGAAGATATAGGCTGATGAAATAACATCAACAGGTGCATCCTTTATAAACACGTGCTGACTAATTAATGTCAGTAGAAACATCCATATGAACGAGATATGCTGTCTAAACAATGACAGTTGGTACATCATTTCTTTATGAGCATGATGTACTAAATGTATAGAAATAAAACCTTTCTGTGATAAGTTCATTCAAGAACCAAGATCATAGGGGCATTCCCATTAGCGCTACATCCCCATCTTTAGCTGCCAGTTCAGAGTTCCGATATCAATTATGCCAATAGCAGTCTGATTATACGTCCGTCTTGCCTTTCCTGTGAGTGCCTGGTATCGGCCCCCAACCCCTCGTAACTCTTCCCTACATCACTCTCACCAGACTGATGATCCATTTGCTCCTCCAAATTGTACATGTGCTCCCATAATGCCTTGACCATGTCTGCCTTATCATGCATCAGTACTCCTCCAAATTGTGCACAGCCAGCCAGTCTGTCTGTCTGTTCATTTCCCAATACACCAGGCGACATATACACTGTTGAAGGAGTATTCTAAAGGACCTTTTAGGCAATAATGATGCATCTGGCATATCCTCTTCTTATTCTTCTTAGCGTTCACCAGCTGTAAACTTTGGCAGGAAGTTCTGGCTGTTTGTCCTGGACTTCTGGACTAGTCTTTTTCCAGAATTTGAGTTTTGCGTGCACAGCGATTCGACAGATCTAGCTTAACTTAATGCAGACAGTTGATTCCTTGCCCCTCAGGCAGGTGAACTTTGACCGAAAACTCTTTAGTTGCCTTTTATGATACGCCTGTTAGGGGTGCAGTGTGTCTAGTCCCCCCCCCCCCCCCCCCAGAATAGGGCAGCGGAACAAACATGGGCAGCATCAGGTACATAATGCTAGACTCATGTTTATAGACCACTTGGCACTCTGTGGGTGACGTGGTCAATATCATGCTGGACACTGTTACTTCCCAAGACACCACTTGGTACACACTTTAGGCTGGGGTGACATTGGACCCAAGGTCACTTTTGAAAAACACCTGTCGCTGTACGAATTCAACCCCAAGACTTTCAGACTGGCAAGCGAGTGTCTAACCCTGACTCTACCACAGCTCACCCAGGAATAAAGAGAACAGAAAAAAAAAAAATTACATCTGCCCATTTGTGAAAAAAATTACCTGAAAATAAACAGACAACACAAGACAGTACCTTTGACAACCTGCTCAAGCTTCTCAATATGACTGTGAACTTTGCCATTGTAGTGTACAGCATTGACACTGAAGATCAGCTTGGGCTGAATTTGTGTGAACCGCTCCAGCACACCCTTGTACCAGAAGAGAAATTATTATTGGGAAATGTTATTGTCATAATTATTGCTACAAGCAGCTCTTCAGTTCATAACAGAACATACTGCCATCACTAATACAGCTACAGCATCCTACTTATACAGCTACAGCACCCTACTTATACAGCTACAGCACCCTACTTATACAGCTATAGCATCCTACTAATGCAGCTACAGCACCCTACTTATACAGCTACAGCACCCTACTTATACAGCTACAGCATCCTACTTATACAGCTACAGCACCCTACTAATGCAGCTACAGCATCCTACTAATACAGCTACAGCACCCTACTTATACAGCTATAGCATCCTACTAATGCAGCTACAGCACCCTACTTATACAGCTACAGCACCCTACTTATACAGCTACAGCACCCTACTTATACAGCTATAGCATCCTACTAATGCAGCTACAGCATCCTACTAATACAGCTACAGCACCCTACTTATACAGCCACAGCATCCTACTAATACAGCTACAGCATCCTACTAATACAGCTATAGCATCCTACTTATACAGCCACAGCATCCTACTAATACAGCTACAGCATCCTACTAATACAGCTATAGCATCCTACTAATACAGCTATAGCATCCTACTAATACAGCTACAGCATCCTACTAACAGAGCTACAGCATCCTACTAATACAGCTACAGCATCCTACTAACAGAGCTACAGCATTCTACTAATACAGCTACAGCATCCTACTAACAGAGCTACAGCATCCTACTAACAGAGCTACAGCATCCTACTAATACAGCTACAGCATTCTACTACTACAGTTACATTCTTAGTATAGTGATACCATCCACACAGCAGATGCAGCTAACCAAGATTATACAGAACAACAACATGCAGGAAGTTCAACCCTCAAGGTAGACAGGGGCAGCATACTGATATAGCCCGCCATCCAACAAGGTTGCCTTCAATGTAGTGTAGATAAACGGCATTAAGAACAGCCTTACATACAGAAACGAACATCAGTCTTAAAAGTGCTCTTGACAGAGCTTATCAATAAATGTTACATCTCCCCCCGACACTTCGATGAGGTACAAGGTGGAAGAGAAGAAGAAGAAGAAATATAAATGATGACCTGGTTGCCAAGGAGCATCCTGCACTCCATTTGTGTATATTTGACTTCCCATTTACAAATGGCTGTGCCTAAAGCTCTCAACTGTATCTTCTCCTGTGTCACCACACTGGACAGCAGTTGTAGAGAGTAGAATCCTGTTGCTGTCAGCACCGAGGTCCATGCACTTAGCAATGACAGTTCAGATCAGGCAGATGTGTGCTGATCTACACAGGTGGGTTTGTTGTATGAAGAGACAAGAGTGCATGTGCATTGAAAGCTTGCTCTGCAGGCAGAACAGCCCAGGAAGCCAGTGGTGTCTTCTCAATGACCACTAGCAGGTAAACAATGGAGGTGATGACAGTGACACAAGCTTTCGTGTAGTCTGAATTACAGAATCATCCCGAGTGTGTGTGCTGAGTGATTCTTTGAGCATGCTCCGGTGAGTTGAGGCAGACTCTGTACACAGACTGTGGACTGCGTCATTGCGAACCTCCACTGTTCGTGCAGTCATCTTCATCTTAGGATATGCAGACGCTGTTGGCAATGAAAGAGCTGATAGACCGGTTGGTTATGGCCTTAATTACAGTTGGCTGACCTATGGATCGCCCCAACACTGTTAATGCCCTTAGAGAAATAGGACGATCCAAGGATTTTGGGAGCAGCAATTCCACATCACAGCAAAGAATGCGAGATTTGGGATAAAAGATTGGCTTAACCAGGCATGAGAGGCACAAAGGTCTTGTTAACCAGCACAGAACTAGCACTAATAACCAGGGGGGGGGGGGGGGGGGTGCTGACGAAGTTGAAGAGGGAATCTGAACACCTACACCCGTGTCCAAAGTGCCGTGAACATAACTCAAATGGCTGCGACAGACCAGCAGGATGATTATCACAACTAGAGGCTTCAGCTGCTGGAGTCTGTACTGAGTGCATGCTTATACATTCAGGATCAGTGTGGTCTCATCTCAGGATAATCACACCAAACCGCTACTAGAATGTGTGTCCTTACTTTTTCCATTTCTCTCCTTACACTAAATTCTATACTTTCTCCTTATATATACTGAGAAAGTAAAGAATTTAGTGTAAGGAGAGAATATATGTTCTGCTTAAGGATCATTATAGTACCGCCCTCTCTCCTTACCACAACTCCAAAGTCAGGTGACGTAGAGCTCCAGATAGCTCCTATACTAACAGCAGCAAGCATGGCCTCCACTGCTTCAGTGCAGTTTGGTATATAACCTGCAGATACATGTAATATCAAGTAAGCAAAAGTGTTGGCTGATATGACAACATGACTAGAAGATACAAACTCTGATCACATAAAAAGGCAGGTAAAACATTGGGAATTAAGACACTGATGATCAAACACACAGGAACTGAAAGTTGTTAAGGATCAACTTAATTACACCAATGAACTTGTCTCATCAATTCAACTATTTCAAAATCCTTTTTTTTTTGAGTTAAAAACAGAATCTAGTTTTGATATATTGCTCCATGTTACATGTGTAACCATGCACCTCTCAACAGCTAAAAGAATGGCTGCTTACTTGCGATCTACTTACTAGGTGGTACTACTATTTTGCCAGATTATAAGTTAATGTTTCTTGTTTTGGCTGACATTTATGGTGGTTTTGTTTTGGCCTTTACAAAATCATTAGTCTTATCATTTAATTTTGACCGTTTCTTTGGCAGAAGTATGAAAATAGATTTCACAATGTCATCAGATTTGTAGCCACTGTTGTAGATTCAATTCAACAGTTCATCAACAGCTTGTATTTTGTTCCACAGTTTTGTTAATACAACCATAATGAGTTCACCAACAGCTTGTTTTCTGTTCCACAGTTTTGTTAATACAACCATACTGAGTTCACCAACAGTTTGTATTTTGTTCAAACAGTTTTGTTAATACAACCATACTGAGTTCACCAACAGCTTGTTTTCTGTTCCACAGTTTTGTTAATACAACCATAATGAGTTCACCAACAGCTTGTATTTTGTTCCACAGTTTTGTTAATACAACCATAATGAGTTCACCAACAGCTTGTATTTTGTTCCACAGTTTTGTTAATACAACCATACTGAGTTCACCAACAGCTTGTTTTCTGTTCCACAGTTTTGTTAATACAACCATACTGAGTTCACCAACAGCTTGTTTTCTGTTCCACAGTTTTGTTAATACAACCATACTGAGTTCACCAACAGCTTGTTTTCTGTTCCACAGTTTTGTTAATACAACCATACTGAGTTCACCAACAACTTGTATTTTGTTCAACAGTTTTGTTAATACAACCATACTGAGTTCACCAACAGCTTGTTTTCTGTTCCACAGTTTTGTTAATACAACCATACTGAGTTCACCAACAGCTTGTATTTTGTTCCACAGTTTTGTTAATACAGCCATACTGAGTTCACCAACAGCTTGTATTTTGTTCCAGTTTTGTTAACTCTTTCAGGCCCATAAATTTTGACGGACTTGGCCCAAATTAATTTCCCTTTACAAAAATGGCAGAGGGGTGGGTGCACAAGAAAGGCTGTAGAGATTGTGATATAATTCTAATCCCTATAAAAGTACATATTTTTTAAAAGAGAAATGAATGTACATTTTGAATATGATGATAAGTGTTTGTTTAATTTTGTTTTAGTTAGTGGGTAAGAAAAATTCAGCCGGTGTTAACTTCACAAGGACAACCTTTCATACAAAAATTCTTCACTTACCATGGTTTTGCAGCCCCAAGAGTAGTAAATATCCAAATTTGAGAACAAAACTTCAAAGTTTGTTCAATTTTCTAACATATTTCAAAGTTATAATAACTTTCTGGGTTAGTTTAGCACTCAGGAGCTCTTAGTTCTCACAGAGTGCTGAGCAAAATTTCAGAGAAAAAATGGCCGAAAAATAAGCCATTACACACACACTATTTACTTTGTACAGTTATTTACACTGTAGCTGCGATGATTTCAGTGTAGCTTAGCCATAGTATAGTACTGTCTCTTTGTTTAGAGCACTTTCCTTCTCTTACACCATAAATACGGTAGTATGGGACATTGTCTGTGTAATAAACTCATCAGAATCGCTAGATTCCGAACAGCAGATCGCTCAGCTTCACTAATGAAAATTCACCGTCCGAACCACTTTCCGAAAAATCTAAATTTTTATTATCATTATCACAATTTAGAACATCTAACTGAAACAATTTCAGAGCTTCGGCCGCAGAAAGACGCATTCTGTGACCTGATCTTGTAGTTGGAACATTGGTATTCATGACACTCAAAAACGAACTTAGAAAATGAACTACTAAAAATAATTTCGCTCTTTTTTTTCTATCAAATTATCCACGTGTGGTTTAGTCCAGGAAATGAAACTAAAAGGATTTCGGCAGAGTGACTTTCCCTGAATAGTTTAATCGTACCTCCAAACATTAGAAACTAGTACAAAGCCGCTTGCGAAGCAAAATGTAAGGGACACACGATTGATGATGACACCGTTGTTTGGGCAAAAGGGAACCTTCTCAAAAAACGCTCACACCGTTGTTTGGGCCTCAAAGCGTTAATACAACTAAACTGAGTTCACCAACAGTTTGTATTTTGTTCAACAGTGGTGTCATCTGGCCCGAAGGATTTACTTTTCTATATGTTGTATAGCATCTTCTACCTATCTCACCTTGATAATCTTGCAGTACTGAGGTGAAGGTTAAACTATGAGAAAGTGCCCATTTGTGTGCTTCATATGTGGGGTATGTGCTTTATATGTGGGGGATGTGCTTCATACGTGGGGGATGTGCTTTATATGTGAGGGATGTGCTTCATATGTGGGGTATGTGCTTTATATGTGGAGGATGTGCTTTATATGTGGAGGATGTGCTTCATATGTGGGGGATGTGCTTTATATGTGGGGGATGTGCTTCATATGGGGGGATGTGCTTCATATGTGGGGGATGTGCTTTATATGTGAGGGATGTGCTTCATATGTGGGGGATGTGCTTCATATGGGAGGGATGTGCTTCATATGGGGGGGGGGGGATGTGCTTCATATGTGGGGGATGTGCTTCATATGTGGGGGATTTGCTTCATATGTGAGGGATGTGCTTCATACCTGGAAAATGTGCTTCATACGTGGGGGATGTGCTTCATATGTAGGGAGATGTGCTTCATATGTGGGGGTTTGTGCTTCATATGTGGGGGATGTGCTTCATATGTGGGGGGATGTGCTTCATATGTGGGGGATGTGCTTACTACCTGGGGAATGTGCTTCATACCTGGGGAATGTACTTCATATGTGGGGGATGTGCTTCATACGTGGGGGATGTGCTTCATATGTGGGGGTTTCTTTGAACTGTTATTCAACTCTGTCCACTGTTGGCATGGTTGGTCTTATCTTTTGATTCCCTATTGGTCTGTACATCCCTGCTCATTGTTGTTTCGTGTCTGCTGCAGTCGAGTTGAATGGCCAGAACATTTCATTTGTTTTTATCTAATTATATCCAGCACTGTTAGGATCACTATGTGTTTTTTTTTGTTTATCTTTCACTTAAGTTGGTGTTTTTCATACTAGGGATGAGTGTTTGTAACTGCTTTTCCCACTTTATCATGCCAACTTGTAATATAAAGTTTAGCTTCTTTGTTGAAAATTGTCTCAAAAAGGGAAATAATTTGTTGACAAAGTTACTTACCCACCACTCTGTCCCCTTTCTGAACACCCATATGTCTCATTGCTGCGGCATAAGCTGCAACAGACTGTCGTAACTCTCTATGTGTCTTCCTTCTTACACTACTCCGTCCTTCTCCTGTAAAACAAATCCAAATAAGTAAACTGAATTTATATTTAGTACACTTTCTCAAAATAAGTTACAAGACAAGCACTGTTTCTTAGCATGATCCTCTATCGGCATGACTTGTTTGCTCCAAAGGAAAGGTAACACTAATATTTCGTTAGTTAGTTAGTTAGTTGGGTTATCCTCATTGCACTCTGGACATGTCCATAGGTGCTCAGATCCTCCCCTCAGTATGAACCCCAACGTCCGATGGCTAATAGTACCAGTTCTATGTTGATTAACAAGTCTTCTGGCGTGTCTGGTGTGCGTCTCGTTTTTTGCTGTGCCGATCTTAATTCCCAAGTCTGCCATTCTGGCGAGTGATGTGGATTCACTGTCACCAAAGTCCTCTATCCTTCCCATTTCTCTGAGGGCATTAATAATATCAGCATGATCCATAGGCTGACCGTCGGTAGTGATAGCGGATCCAGCCAACCTGTCAGCTCTTTCATTTCCATCGACGCCTGCGTATGGTAACACTAATATGCTTGGAAGAAAGCTAGTTGCAGAAGCTGCCGGATCAGAACTCTGTTCACATGTCTCAGCTTCCCTCCTAGACCAGCTGCCAGCCATGGTCTACCCTGCCATAACACTGGGTGTTCAGGATGTGTTTCCTTTTCCCAATATAAAACTAACATCCTTTCCAATAATAAAAAAACATTCTTAGGACAATTAACAGAGTAACAAGAGATCAAATTGAAACAGGAAATAAATTTGGGCTGAAAGCAATTATACAATTTGTTTAAATAGTAGCAGATGAGATGGCTATCTGATGAGAACACCCTGGTACCTACTGCCATCAAGAGCCACTCTGAAGAAATATAATCAACACAGTGCAAGGGAAAGACTGCAAAATATGTAATGACAGCAACAACAAAAACGTCACTACATTAAGACTTATACAAAACACTGTTAGTAACCTGCACTGGGAACAAACAGAAACAGCTTGAAATGACATCTAATCACCACAGATAGACAGAAAAAGAGGAGTGCAACAGGGATGTGTGCTACCCCTCGGTCTTTTCACTTTCAACTTGTATATAGAACACATTTGTTAACAAGGAGAAATTCCTGGAATGAATATTATTGGAAGAATCGTCTTCTTTATTAACGTCCACTTGGCTGTAAACTCCGTGTTCTGTGCGAAATCACTGGGGACTGTAAAGAGTTAATGAAGCCAGGACATTGTGCGACAGATTGAGAATGTAAACATGTGAGCCACTTCAAAGTCGTGAAACAGAGATTGCAAGATATACATGGATAACTGCAAACTCCCTGATTGGTGTGGGGAATGTGACATCTTCGTGTAACTGATGGCTGGTGGAAAGAGACCCATGGTATTTTGACTGAGTCAGTTGCCTTCAGTTCCTCTAAGTGTGTGGACGTGTTCATGTCCTGTGCAGGTGTGGACCTGGTGGGACATTCTTTAACAATGTGGTTTTATTCTTGTGAACTGCTTGGATGATCGTGGTCAATCATCAGTCTGACTATCAGAATGCTGTCAGTCTAATTTTCTTGAATGGACTTGTGCCAGCTGTGTGTTTGTGGGGTCGGCAATGTCGCGGCTGTGGAGCACATGGTGACGGAGTATCCGTAAGGGCACAGAAGTGTGCCGGGAAACTTTGTGTGTGTTGACCAGCATAGAGCTGTGATGGGGAAGTATCGGAGGCTGAAAAAAAAGGAATGTTAGTCAGTGATGCTTTAATGAGTGGCTGGGATAGCAGACGGGAGATCTGGAGTCTTTCACCAAGTGGTGCATCTATCTTGAGTCCTCGCAGGGCGGGATCGTTTAGAGGATGAACCGTTAGAGGACTGTCATTGCACATTACATAGGTGCATCTGTGTAATCGAATCGCCCGTAGCAGGTCCTTGGTACATAGTTTACTGGAGTGTTTTGTCCATGTCTGGAGGGACTGTCAATGTGAATATTTGGGAAAGCAGTAGAAAACTTGACAGTGTGCCATAGATCACCACTCATCTTCGTCATAATGTTTTCATCCATAATACAGAGACTGATGGCACAATAAATCATACTTGGCGTGGTGTATTATGTTACAGTGCTCATAGAAGACAATGTTAATGGTTACGATAGGACATGTTCCGGGTGCCTGGCTTATAGTAGTGCTCTTGTCTGAGTTGCCCAACCTTCACCCCATTTTAATCACCATCAGTCTGTGCCGCGGCAAAGAAAGTAGGCAGCATGCTTGGTGGACAGAGGGACTCCAGTGTGTAGGTGTGGACAATAGGCACTGAATAAATGTAATCCCCTAGACAATTGGCCAGCATGTGGTACATCCCAGACAGCACGCAGCAGAACATTCTGTTTGTTGTTTGCAGGCACACCCATTTTACTGATCTGGCCTACTTGTATGCAGACTGTTAGTTCAAAACCTCTCAATCAGATGCACTCTGACTTCAAGAGAAATCCCTAATTAGTTGCATTTTACAAAACGCTTGTGGGGGGAAGGGGGCTATCCCCCCCCCCTCTTTTCCCATGCTAGGAAATGGAAGAATAATAAATAATAATCTGAGATATGCTGATGACACAGTGTTAATATAAAATGAGCAGGATTTACAGCAGGTAAACAGGTGGACACACAATATCTGATTTAAGTAACTGACTTAGAAGGCATGCCGAGGACAGACATGCTGCGTGCAGAGGGGCAGGATTCGCTTCGGAGGTCAGAGATGAGAAGCCTTGTCCAGATCTTTTCTCGTGGTCTGCTTGTGTGGTGGATAATGAACAGGCGGTCAGATTGGCTGGCTCTGCACAACTTGGTAGAATGCTGATGCATGATAAGGCAGATGTGGTCAAGGCTTTACTGGAGCATGCGTACAATTCAGAGGAGCAAATGGATTATCACAGTCTGGTGAGAGTGATGTAGCGAGGAGTTACCAAGGGATCTGGCCAATATTCGAGTCTCAGGGTAAAAGCAGAACAGACATATAAACAGACTGCTACTGGTACCATTGATACTGGAACTTTGTGCTGGCTGTTGAAGATAGGGACTGAGCGCTTATGAGAATGACCGAGTGCTGTGATGTCACTTCTTGAATCAAATCTTACTCAACTCAACCCTGCTACTGCCTGGGCAATGCGTATTGCTATCTGCCTTTGGTTCACACATATATTTGTTCTGCGTTTGGTGGATTCTCCTTAATGTGTGTGTGTGTGTGTTTGGTTTTTTTAACCGCCTTGTGGTGCATGTCCTGGGTCTTTTGTTGCTCATTTTCCATCTATCTTTTTATATTTTCAGTTTCTTCGGGGTTTAGTTCAGGATTCCTTTCTCAATGCTGTTTGTTTCTTGTCTGCTGCTGTTGAGCACATGTCATTTGCTGGAGAGACTGGGTATGACAAGAGAGTTGTTGAAAGAAATAACAAAGAGACAACTGAAACATTTTCGACTTATTATGAAACACAAGACTCATTTAAAAACCACACTAGAGGGAAAAGTCGAAAGGACGACAGAAAACGGTAGCTGTAACAAGGGGGAGAATATTAACAGATGAACCAGCAGCAGTCTGAGTATACAACCAAGATGAGAAACACATTGTTGAAGACTCACTACAGTTAACCTTCTGTGTGGATACGGAACCTGACTGATTGATACAATGCATTCGAAAGAACTGAATAAATAAATGTGTAATTAACCCTGCTTTGCTATCACACCTGTTGAATATACTGCCACTCTGTCATCATCAAAACGGAGGATGTTCTCAGCAAAATTCAGCCTGCTTCCCCGAAACCATTCTGGGATTTCAGAAATGGACTTTTTCTTATTGACAACCTGCTCAGGAGAAAATCAATAATACACATACACAACAGGAATTCAATGACTTCATTATCCAATACCAAACTGTATCAGTCTAAGTCAATACTAACGTTGAATATCTAGGCTCTATAATAATTAGCAATAGGGAATGTTTGATAGAAATCAAAAGGAGGATGGCCATGGCAATGCAATGATTAAACAGCATTAAAAGTCTATGGTTGGGCACTAGCAACTAAATCTAAATTAAAATTTTGAGAGCATGCAACTTTCCTGTAGAAACCTACGGATATGAGTCGAGGACTATCTCTAAGTCCTTGAGAAATAAAATAGAGGCTTTTCTGCTGAAATACTACAGAAAATTTGTCAGAATACGACAAACAAAGAAAATTAGAAATACTGACATTTTATAAGATCTGAATATCAAGTAAGACTGGCTAATAAACAGCATCCTGTCTCAGATGCTGGAAGATTTTGGTCATATCAAGCGCCATAGCGGACTAAAAAAATTATAGCAGAACGCATGGTACCAGGAAGGAGGGGCAGGGGCCAACTAACATGAAGATGGGCACAGGATATAAGTGACTCTTTGAGTATGAACGTACATGAGGTGGGAGAGCTGGCAAGAGACAGTTTCTTTCAGGAAGGCCGTTATGAGAGCGACATTCTGCAAAGGACCTGCTACAAGATGAAGAGTCTATAATGTGCTATAATGTGTTAGTCAGAAACAGAAACAAATAATCCAACTCCTGCAGGAGATTAAACCTGGATCATTGACCATATCCAAAACCCACTAGCTACTACGCCACCACCGCTACCGGCTCCATTTAACTTACACTGAAATATATAATTAGAGAGAGAGAGAGAAAGAGAGAGATGGAAGCTAGCAAGTATGCACGCACACACTAAAACATGGGGACAAATGACAACACACAATAAAAGGAGAGCACTTTGTTAATTCTTGAAGCCATCAAACTAACAGAAGAGACACAATCAAACATGAAGAAATCAGAAGAAGACTAGGACTGAAACCAATCATAAAATTCATTAAAAAAGCAAAGATGAGATGGTCTGACCTTCTAATGAAAACATTCTGATGCCAGCCGCCACAGAGAGATAACTGATACCAGCCGTCACAGAGAGATAACTGATACCAGCCACCACAGAGAGATAACTGATACCAGCCGTCACAGAGAGATAACTGATACCAGCCGCCACAGAGAGATAACTGATACCAGCCGTCACAGAGAGATAACTGATACCAGCCGCCACAGAGAGATAACTGATACCAGCCGTCACAGAGAGATAACTGATACCAGCCGCCACAGAGAGATAACTGATACCAGCCGTCACAGAGAGATAACTGATACCAGCCGTCACAGAGAGATAACTGATACCAGCTGCCACTGAGAGATAACTGATACCAGCCGTCACAGAGAGATAACTGATACCAGCCGTCACAGAGAGATAACTGATACCAGCCGCCACAGAGAGATAACTGATACCAGCCGCCACAGAGAGATAACTGATACCAGCCGTCACAGAGAGATAACTGATACCAGCCGCCACAGAGAGATAACTGATACCAGCCGCCACAGAGAGATAACTGATACCAGCCGCCACAGAGAGATAACTGATACCAGCCGTCACAAAGAGATAACTGATACCAGCCGTCACAGAGAGATAACTGATACCAGCCGTCACATAGAGATAACTGATACCAGCCGTCACAGAGAGATAACTGATACCAGCCGTCACAGAGAGATAACTGATACCAGCCGCCACAGAGAGATAACTGATACCAGCCGTCACAGAGAGATAACTGATACCAGCCGTCACAGAGAGATAACTGATACCAGCCGTCACAGAGAGATAACTGATACCAGCCGCCACAGAGAGATAACTGATACCAGCCGTCACAGAGAGATAACTGATACCAGCCGCCACAGAGAGATAACTGATACCAGCCGTCACAGAGAGATAACTGATACCAGCCGCCACAGAGAGATAACTGATACCAGCCGTCACAGAGAGATAACTGATACCAGCCGTCACAGAGAGATAACTGATACCAGCCGTCACAGAGAGATAACTGATACCAGCCGTCACAGAGAGATAACTGATACCAGCCGCCACAGAGAGATAACTGATACCAGCCGTCACAGAGAGATAACTGATACCAGCCGTCACAGAGAGATAACTGATACCAGCCGCCACAGAGAGATAACTGATACCAGCCGCCACAGAGAGATAACTGATACCAGCCGCCACAGAGAGATAACTGATACCAGCCGCCACAGAGAGATAACTGAAACCAGCCGCCACAGAGAGATAACTGATACCAGCCGCCACAGAGAGATAACTGATACCAGCCGCCACAGAGAGATAACTGATACCAGCCGCCACAGAGAGATAACTGATACCAGCCGCCACAGAGGGATAACTGATACCAGCCGCCACAGAGAGATAACTGATAACAGCCGCCACAGAGAGATAACTGATACCAGCCGTCACAGAGAGATAACTGATACCAGCCGTCACAAAGAGATAACTGATACCAGCCGTCACAGAGAGATAAGATGATGAAAAAAATACAACGAACACAAAGTAACGAGAATATCACACAATACAAAACATAGAAGGATGAAATCAAGAACAGCCTTTAACAAATTAAGATCAACATAAACAGTGTATTAGAAGGAGCACACAGAGGATCCTTACATTTGAATGAAGGAAATGGAGTCAGAGAAGAAGAAATAAGAAGATCAAAATAGTTAACTAAAAGAAGATAAAAGTAATTAATTATGGTGCAATGATGAACATGTGAAGGAATATCTAGCACTGAAGTAGTATATGTATCACTTCAGCAAGATGGTAGAATCATTTGACAGTTCCCCGTGTGGGTTCTAGGGCCCTATTATAGGGAAAACAAAAACAGACCCACTGCCTACCCAAAAGCATGTCATTAAGAGTCAACTAATTGGGAGCTTCCTTCGAAGTCGGAGTGCATCTGCCTGAGAGGCAAGGAACCAGCAGTCTGCATACAAATGAGTCAGATCTGTAAAACAGATGCACACACAACACTCAGGTACTGGAACAGGACTGCAGTCCAGAAGTGGATGAACAACCAGAACTTTCCGCCAGAGTTTACAGCCGGTGAACGCGAAAGAAGAAGATTTGACAGTGAGTGCCAACAAAACCAGATGAATCTGTTTTTTTGTTTTCTTTAAATTTTATTTTGTTGCTGGTGTTGAGTGTACATCTGTTACCTATTTGTTCTCCTTTCATTTCCGAGCTAAACTTTGCCTACAAGACAGAACTACCCCTACTGGTTCTACTGATTACTGGTTTAAGAATCAACATCATAGCACACCCGGCATACCCACAGAAGCTCAGTCGCCGCAGCAAATGCCTTTAGTTGCAGATGCTAACTGTTCCTGTAGCACAGTAATTTTACAGAGGTCATTCTCTTCCTCTCCTTGCCAGATCCACACTTAATTTTTCGTTTACACATTCTTGCCTATGTTATTTTCTCTAATCTTGTGTCTTATGAACAATTGGTGATAGGTGGTCCTTAGAATATCTCCCTTATCTAGTAGGAGTGTTCCCGTAGCTTTCCCTTTGGTAGCCAGAAAATCCCCTCTTTCATTGTAGCCCTAAAACTAACTAAAATAATACAGCAAAAAAACAAGAAAACTGCACTGCAGTGTTGTAAACAGTAACTGTTAAGAGGAAACACTTATGCAGTTTGTGTATGGGGCTAGCATAACTACTTGTATCAACAGTGAGCTGCAATTCTGGTGTGGGATTGTTGGTGTTGACACATCTGAAAGCTGCCCCAAAGCATTTACTTTGTGATTTCTACTGGACCCGTCTGCAGTAAAGATATAACCTGAACTGATGACTGTCAAAAGAACAAAAACAAATGTCACCTCTTCAAATGACTTGGAGTGAATGATGTCTGTGAATGTCCACACTTCCTCCCAGAATTCAGCATAGTTGTCACATGACCAGCGATGAAACTCTTGATATGTGTCTGAAACAATCAGTTATGGTTCCACAATCAATTTATCTTATTTTATGGCCAACAATTATGTGACAAGACAAGAGTAAGACAAGCATTTAACACTCATCACTATCATGTGCCTTGCCGAGTGGCATAAGCCACAATGTTTCTCTTTATCTGAAGATCTCTAACAGTATGTATCTGTTTGTGTGCTGATATACTTCTATGCCATGAGAAAAGGTGGTTATGAATCTTCTTTAGTCATCATTTATCTTATTCCATAAATCTGTTCAGCTTGCACAAAATGTTGCTGTTTTTCCTCTTATTATAACGTGTTTCTCTGTTATAGTTAGTACCAGGGTATGTTAGATAGCCAAACGATTTCATTTGTTGTTCCTTTACTAACTGAATGACTGGGTTCAGTCTGATCTTCATCATCATTGTTAACAAGTACCTCACCTACTGGTGTGGGTGATCCTGCTTCTAAAGTTCTAGATCTCTTAACTGCATGTATCAGTACAAGTGTTGATACCCCTCTCTGCTGTGACACAAAACTGTCAAGAATCTTTTAGCGGCGTCCTCTTATCTTTCTACAAATCTGTTCCACTGCAACATGTAACAAAACAGACTGCCTCGTTCTAAAGTTTATGATGTCTTTAGTCTTAGTCTTGTTCAGGACACCTAGATAACTTATTATGTGTGTATACAAATACAAGACATTTCAAACAATCTTTTGTAAAACAAAATCTCCAATGCCTCAAATAACTTTGGCTTGTTGTGGCTCTTTGTGCAGCTGGTTCTAGAGTTTTTCATTAAAGCCAAACTATTTCATCTGCTGCTCTTTAAAAAAATGTATGATTGGTTCAGGCTTAGCCTTTTTCTCATTGATTTATATTATCTCATATGGTTCTGAAACTTGGAGCACAACTAAAAGAGATGAAGCCTTATTACAGGTTTTCGAAAACAGTCTTAAGACAAATCTTTGGACCCCTCAAAGATGCAAACAGCGGGTAATGGAGAGTGAGAAACAACAACAAAATTCCTAATCTGTTTAGATCCCCAGTGATCACTGCTTACTGCTTACAACCACACAAAAAATAAATAAAACTATACTGGTAGGGTCAAAAAGTTCCCAGAAATTATGCCTAGAGAGCATAACAGGGTGTAAACATCAGAGTCAGTCTGACTCTACCGCCTAAGGCAGACTGTCTTGAACCACAAGCATTTCCCCCTCCCCCACCCAATCCTGTGTTCTTTGTACAATTCGTAAAACCCATCTGAATGAAAATAATGTTGAAAAATATAAATTTGACTTAACAGCCTGTTCTACTTACAACCTGTTAGTCAAAAAAAGGAGCTGTTTCTTTTTTTAAGGTCAGAAGTAGTGTTAGGTGTCTCATTATCTGACCTGCCTGTGCACACACAATGTTGATTTCTGTATCCATTCTTCGGATGAGGTGACAACATATTTGGGATCATAACCTGACTGACACTCATATGTTACCAGGTCCATAGAGACCACAAGAGGCTTGGAGTGAGTAGGCTGAGGTTCTTTACTCCACTGGGAGACAAAAGGCAGAAGAAAGAAACTTCTTCATCTTCTCAGTCCGTGCCGTGTGACGTTGGTAGTTATATTTATCCACAACTTTTTTGTCTTGTATATTTTCAATCAACTCTGACACAGACGATCCCTCCTCTGATGATGTCAAACTGTCCAGAATCTTCTCTCTCCGTCTCCCTCTGCCTCTCTTTCCCTCCAACTTTCCCAATGTAGTCCAGATTTTCTTTCTTATGACATGACCAAAGAATGTAGATGGTCTCTTTCTGATGTAGGAAATCAAAGAAACTACTGTTTGCATACCCCATACCGTTCATCATTGTATGTTGGTATCAAAAAGGAGAAGGCACACTTAGACAAGAAAATTATAACAAACCTGGTATGGTGTGGGCATAATTAAACATTGTAGGCTATAAACATCCACCATTAAATGTATTGCCCCTTCAATTTTTTTTAACATGAGCCCGGACACAGTAAAACCATTAAAATAATTTAAAGTGCCAGCTGTCACACATTTTTTCAGAAAATTATCTAACACATCTTGGCTGAGTATTCAGAAATTATATTAAGAAATGTTTACTTCAAAAGCTATCATATCTTCTTCTTCAACTGTGTTCACCGGCTGTAACTTCAACAGAAAGTTCTGGCTGTTTGTCCACTTCTGGACTTGGCTTTGTTCCAGAAACTGAGTGCTGCGTGCACATCTACTTTACAGATCTGGCTTATTTGTATGCAGACTGTTGGTTACTTCCTCTCGGGCAGATGCACTCCGACTTTAAAGGAAGCCCCTAATTAGTCAACTCTTACAACATACTTGTTCAGGAAGCTGTGGGTCTATTCTTGTCTTCCCCCCCCCCCCCCCTTACATTGGTCCCGGAACCCACAGGAGAAAAAAAATCATTAAAAAATGATAAATATAAAGGTAGAGCTTGTATAGAATAAAGCATCAGTACATATTCATACACCCCTTTACCCTTCTGATGTGTCTCCCTCCTGAAGCGAAGCATATATGTTTCAATATGAACCCAAGCATTATACTGATCAAAACAGAGCTCTACTGCCAGAGGAGCAACAGGCAAAATAGTTAATAAGGCTAGCATCTGACAGGGAAACCCAGGTTCGAATCCTTTGTAAGATTATAGATTTTTTTCTGTTAGGGGTAACAAAATAACACCCTACACCCCCCCCCCCCCCCCCCCCCCCCCCCCCCCCCCACTCCCCCGCCCCCCCCCCCCCCACCCCCCACCCCCCCTGGTGACAACACTAGCCATGCAGCCTTAAATCCTCAGGATAAAAGATCCCCTGCCTACATCACAAAAGTGGTACTTCTCTTTCCTCTCAACACCAAACCATCTGTATAGATAATCAACCACATAGGCGTAAATTGTCGTGAATCAACTGTTGGACCTCCACCTCCGTAGCACCCGCTGGCCACTCTCTGCACACCCGGCCCAATGTGATCATAACCCTACACAAGTCAGACATCCGCTGGTACTCTGACCCACTCAGCTCCTTGCCCAATTTTATCCAGCATGCATACTTGTCTTCTGCTTCAGCCACCCATGATTTTCCCTTTTTCAGCCTCTGACCTTTACCTGCAGCCAAAGCAGTATGACTTAGCCTGCAGTACCTTTAGTCTACCTACAATAGTCAGCAATGCAAGGATATATCACATGCACACAATTTTGTACATCCTAGGATCACCCGCATAGCTTCATTCTGTATGCGCTCCAGTTTCTCTAGTTGACTCTTCGAGACAGTGTGTAACCCCAATCCATAATCAATCACTGAGATGATTAAGTGCTGGTAAAGTGTGAAACAGCAAAACTCATAAAAATAGGTAATTGACAAAATTTCATGAAACTATCTAGAGATAGATGGAGACTAGAAAGGGAATTGATTATTCAAAACTTGTATGTAACAGCCTAGAATATGTGAAGAAGGATAGTATCCATGGATACACATGTCCCACTCCACTGTCTAACGATTATAATTATTAGACTACCTTTTACTCTATGAACTGACGCTTGGTTATCCTTTAAACCATATGATAAATTACAAATTGAGAATCAACATCGTCGCTATACTTGGGAAATTTCCACAAGCCCTCAGTCCCCATCTTCAACAGCAATTCTGAGGGTACCAGCAACAGTCTGACTGTATATCTGTCTGGCATTTCCCTGGAGTGTCTGCCAGAGCCCCTGGTCACTTCATGCAGCCCCATTCTTCTCAGACCGGAATGATCTATTTGTCCCTCCGCACTATTAGCTCGCCCCCAAAGGACCCCTTACAACATCTAGCTTATCATACATCAAGTCACTACCAAAAGTTGCAGAACCTTTCAGTATGACTGCCTGCTCATTTCCCAGCTTACTGGCATCTCCTGGGAAAAATACCCAAGGACATGATAAACAAACAATGTTTAATTTTCATTATAATATTTTACTTCTAACTTTCAAAATAGATTATTTCAAGGCACTGTTAAGTAAACTTACTCAAATTCACTCCATATTTCTCGTTAATTCTTTTCCGCAACCTGTCCATGTTTGTTTCTTGTTGCCGGCACGGGACCCACATGACTTTGGGGTTATACACAGAATGTCCCTCATCGTCGTTAACTGGCTCTTCACAATTTCCATTCATTGTAACTGGTACTAAAAACGAGAACTCACAAACTATATGTTTATTACTGTACCTGAATGTCACTGTTAATTAATGTCTCTACAAACTAGGTATTAACTGTAAAGTTACTGCTGGCTCTGTCTTTCTGACTACTTAGTTAACTACTCACTTTGAGTTTTGACTATGAGTCTACAGGCTTGGCAGCGAGTTGGGGCAGACTAAACAAATTACATTCACCTAAAGTTCATGTGAAGTTTCCAAATAATTCGGTTTCTTATAAATACATATAAAATGTGATAATTAAAAACTCTGTTAAATGTGATATTATGTACACAAAAACCGGAGAATGATCAACGGCCGAGCAGGACAACAGTGAACACGCCACGTTTGGTGGCAGCAAACGATTCTAGCAGAACACACATTTGTCAAGTGTCAAGGCCGCCGAGTGGTACGACCGCTTTACTGCCCCCGTACGAAATAGTGCGCCCGTTTTATTTGACAAGTTCTGCAAATTTTCTTTAATTTATTTCAGATTTACGTCGTTTTGAATTATAAAAATGTTTAATTTACTGGGTAAGAAATATTGTATGATTCAGAGAGCAAGAAATTCCTTTGGTAGGGCAGGCGGGAATTTATAAAGGTAATGTAGTTCTTTAACCTTTAACCCGACGTTGGTCACACCTTCAGGTTATGTTATCACGATCGACGTAACTGCACATTGGGCATTCCCGTGTGGGCTCAGTCCTTGAATGCAGCAGCCACTAAAGTGTACTCCTTCTTTTAACTGTTACAATGAGAAGTTGGTTATAATGTCTCCAATCTCGGCCTCGAAGGCGGCAAAGGCTTACTTCACTATGCTTGACTCCCATGTCACGCAATCGTGTTAGTGTCAGGGGTTTGTCATTACCTTGATCTAAAAATGTTCTCATAATTCCTATTTAATAATCTAGTACCCCTGTCCACCCATCTAGACTTTAGGTTACCTTGCAACCACCAGAGCCTCCAGTATAACTTAACGGGTAAATGGAGTTTCGTGGATTTGTACCTGGGAATTCTCATCAGAATAGTGACATAATGTACTCTGCGTCACCGGGTATTAATCGCTCATTGTGAGTCCTATCCATGTTCAACTTCACACTCTCATATTTATTCGGGTGTAAAAAGCCCTACCCCGTCTGAACTTCAGGTTACTTTGTAACCATCAGGGGATCCCAGTATAACCTTGCTGTGGCCTCCGGCAGAAACTTTAAAACTGGAGGAGGTCATGAACCTTACTAACACGATTGAGTGACCGAGGAGTTAAACCTAGTGAAGCACGTCTATGCCAGTCTTCGAGGTAAAGACAGGAGATACTTCTAATAGGAACAATCAGCAGAGGTACCTTGCAATAGCTGCTGCATCGGGGGACTTAGCAACGCAAAGGATTCGTGGGAATGCCCAATGTGCAAAGACGTCGACTGGGATAACATAATATGACCTTACAGTTGACGGCGTGTCTGGAATTTGTACCTGGGGCAATTCTTATCCCAGCAGTAACACTTGTTATTGTTCCACCCTGTCCGGATTTCCGGTTAATTTGTTTTCGTTTGGGGCCCCAATAAAACCTAAAAATTGGAGGGAGTTTCTGGGATTCGTACCTGGGGTACCGTTAAGAGGCAATGGCAAGCTACTGAAGATTAAACTGCCTAGTGAAATCCCAAGAAGCACCCCCCCCCCCCTCCCCTTCCCAAATGCTGGTGTTGGTTCTGTAACGTCCTTTAAATGATACTAATCTAACTGGTTTTATCGGCTAGGAAGGATTTCTTGGAATGGCTTCTGTTAGATTCTCATCCAGGGAACGATAGCCATACAGACTGTAGTCTTAAGGAAAAAAAAGTTGTTGGTACTTTAATTTTCATTCATCCCACACAAAGGACATCCAGGAAAGTCTAATCTTCTAGGGGTTTAAAAGAAATTTTGTGGGACAATACTAAGAGAAAGACTGCATGCTCTGGCACGAAAATATAACTGATCTCAGCCAGCCCCGACAGCCTCCAAGACACCGACTAACCCAAACCCCAACTCATAATACCCCTAGAAAATTGTGGCATTCCCAGATTTCCTTTGTTAGTAGTGAATTAATATTGAAGTTCCTATATTTTTAAACTCTTTTTCAATTAAAAAAAAGGGAGTAAATAATGCTGCAGGTAATCTCCCCATCTACACTGGGCGGTTTCACGGTTGACTGAGATTTGCTGCTGCTTCATATGCATCAGAACAGTACTCTCGAGTCACCACACTCGTTGTTAATCTTTGACGCTGTAACACCGGAAAGTAGGAGGGATTGGGAAGGAGGGAGGGGGGGGGGGGGTTAAATACCGGTATAAAGACGCAAGGGGGAAGATACTGACAATAATGAAGGACCGTTGAAGTCGTTAAAGACTTACATTTTCTTTTTCTCATGTGTATCTCCCAATTCGTAATATTCTGAGGCATGATTAAAGAATGCTTAGAATACCTTGGACATCCAAAAAGAACAATCAAGACGTTTTGAAAGAGGCGGGAGCCCGAAGACAACTTATCACAGACATCAGAAGGAGACAGTCATAATTTTTCGGTCTTGCTATGAGAAGAGGGAAAATAGAACATGTTGTGACCACTTGAAAGATCTGTGGAAGGAGTGATAGAGGAACACAACGAGAGAAGATTCTTGACAGTCTTGTTGCATGGCATGGAGGTGTGTCGGCACACGAACTGATACATGCTGCAGGAGATCGTGGATTATAGAGAGGCATGATCACCCACGCCAGTCGGCAAGGCACCTGATGATGATGACGGTGATCTCCCAATGGAAAATAGTCCCTCAACCAATTCACGCCAGGTCGTCATATCACTTACTATTGCCTGTAGCAGATTGTCGTGCCTTCCTCATCGTTTCCTCTTCATCTCTTTTTTTTCCCTCCATGTTTTGTTTGAGCTGCCTTTTTCTTTTAACTCCGTGGGTTTCAATGCAAGAACACTATATTTTAATCTGTTATCAGTGTGTGTCCTATGCAATGACGGGGTCTTTCCCTCACCTCTTGATGCACTAGAATTTGTTTAGTTCTCTCCCCTAAATCTACATGAGTGTTTCTGTTACCCCATACCTCTAACATAAATTGCTGAGAACCAAATGCATACACATGTCGTAATTGTAATAGACTCTGAAAGTATGCTGAGAAAAAGGTGAAGACGGGGATGCTTCGAACAAAGTGGCAAGCTTCACTGGAAAGATCACGGGTAGTGAACATACTTTGGATCAAATGATGCAGAGAAGCATGCTTCCCCCGCACCTGCATTCCCTAATATAAACATGAAGATTCGATCAGCAAATTATTATTACCTGTAAAAAAATTCGGCCTAAATAATAAACGTACCAAGCATACATACAGCCACACACACATGCATTTACACGTGTTCTCACAAACAAGCAAACCAGTGATTTACAGACGGCGTAGTTTAATGGCATGTTTTGGAGAAAGCTGTAATAAAGGTAAAAACGAACAATTTACTTATTTATTGTTTAAAAACATGCAGACACCGTGGGCCGGCACAAGTGTAGTATGATAAACACATGAAGTAATGAACTTACTGTCGCAGACTCACAGACGCAGCAGAAACAAGGTAGAGATGAGAACACACTACACAACATAAACATCGAAACCTCCAGTTAGCTTCAGCAGGCAGAACCTATCGCAGCTGTGTTACCAGAAGATCTGGGTGTTGTGTTTATAATCATCATCATCGTCATGCCTCTCCATAATCCACGATCTCCTGCAGCATGTATCAGTTCGTGTGCCGACACACCTCCATGCCATGCAACAAGACTGTCAAGCATCTTCTCTCGTTGTCTTCCTCTATCCCTCTTTCCACAGATCTTTCCAGTGGTCACAATATGTTCTATTTTCCCTCTTCTCATAACATGGCCGAAAAATGATGACTGTCTCCTTCTGATGTCTGTGATAAGTTGCCTTCGGGCTCCCGCCTCTTTCAAAACCTCTTGGTTACTCTTTTTGGCTGTCCAAGGTATTCTAAGCATTCTTCTGTAACACGTGTTTATAATGGATGAGTTTTTTCTATCAATGTAACGCTACTTCAGGTCTAACATATGCGTAGAACTACCAAAGATATGGGAAGAAAGTTAAGTGCGTTTTTTAAAAATTTCTGAGAAAAATCATGAACATAAAGTGGGGGGAATTCAAAAAGAGTGAGGAGATCAGAGAAATGTCTGGACAAATATCTGTATCGACTGCAATAAGACAAAGAAGGTGGAGATATACTGAGTATACCCTGAAACGAAATGAGCAGAGAATTAGAAAAAAAGCGCAGAAATGGGAAACAAACGGTCTGAGAAAAAGAGGACACTCAAGGGAAACTTTAAGAAAAACATTTTACAAGAGGCTAAAAATGCTGGGCCAAACTCCATATCAGAACTCGACACAGTTGCATGCAACTGATTGGAGGGGAGGAATCCAATGCGAGCACTGTGTGACGTCTAACGGCACAAAAAGGATGATGATAGTGTTATACAGCGCTATGAGGAGGCATGAGACTTACAGCCCATGGCGATGGCATGGTGAAAATAACGCTAGAAAAAAAATGATGCCCCATCCAAAACAAGAAATCTGGGTTCTTTTCCAATTGTTCACCCCCTACTCGCATTTCGAAAAAAAAAATTAAATCACTACCTAAATACTTTAAGCACGGCTTGAGAAGAATACAGCTGGAATACGTTGACAACGGGAAAGTGCCAAGGGAAGAGTCAAAGTGAGGCCAAGACAGATGATATTGGACCCTTTGGAATTCTGACATAGAGGAACTTTTTAAAGCCGGAATTGCAGCCTGAAATATGACAACCAGCCGAGGGGCACCGACACACACAAAAATGAGTGAAGCTTAGCGCCCAGCTAATGTTCTAGTGTGGGGGGGGGGGCGCGCTCATACGACATAAGCTCTGTTGGATGCTAAATGTTGAATTAGGAATCGACATCACAATTCTCGGAACACTCCCATAAGCGCTTCGTCTCCATCTTCAACAGCAAGCGAAGAGTTCCAATTCCGATGGTACCAGTAACTGTCTGATGGTATATCGTTTCGCCTTTCTATTGAGTGTTGAGCGTCGGTCAGATCCCATGGTAACTCCCTGTAGCGCCATTCTCCTTAGACCTTGCAGCTCTATGTGTACCTCCGAACTGTTCACTCGCTCACAAGAGACCTTCGCAAAATCTAGTTTGTCATACATCAATTCACCACCAAGGGGTGCAGAACCGGTCAATCTATCTGACTGTTCATTTCTCGGCACACCGGCATCCCTGGAGAAAATATTAAAAAGACGCTAACTACCTGGGACTTCTGAAGTGATGCTTGCCATTCTGCACGCAGCATGTCTGTCTCCACCTGTCCCAACATACTCTGTGAGTCAGTTACAATTACGGCATGTGTGTACAGCTGATTCTCAAGCAGCGGAAGTCAGCAGAGACTGCATCCACCTCCATTATCTACCTAGACGTTGTGATATCATATGTTAGACTTTGTTGCACATAAGCTATGTTTAGCTGCTTAATAATAATAATTGAGGAGGGACTCAAGGCATCTAAACAATCAGACTTCAAAACTCCTGCACCAGTCACAATTCGGATGCTAACCTTCTTCTTCTTCTTCTTGTCACCATTCCGAGCCCTTGAGGTTCATTGCTGCAGACATCACCCGCCTCCATTCATCTCTATGGTTGGCCTTCTCTTTCCAGTTGATGACACAAATAATCTGTTTAAATCACCACTGATCACTGGCATCATGAGAGCTAATAGACTGAAATGGTTGGAGCATATTGAAAAAATGTCAGATGACAGAGAAGTAAAAACTGTATACACTAGGGAGATGAATGGTCGTAGACCACGAGGGAAACCAAGAAAACCATGGAGAGATAATGTCCAGACAGACCTGCAAACACTTGGATGCTAACATGAGAGGACCAAATCCTAGGAAACCCCTGGTGACCGAACAATAAATGCAGTTCTTCTAGAGCAAGCTGCATCTATGAAAGTCAAGCCATGTTGCCTAATGCTGGTGCGTGTCAGTTGGTATCAATATAAGAAAATTTGTTTCGGAATCTGTGGACAGAACACGAGGCAGAAAGCTGTGAGTGAGTGTGGTTACCAATGCTATATAGTACGGGCTGTAAGACGAGGCCACAGGGACTGTGTCATCCTTTGCTATGACGCCCATGTATAATTAGGGAGCAAATGTTGATGTGCTCGAACTTTCTCCAGATAATACAACGGAAGAGGACACGACTGGTACAACAGGAGGCACTTTAGCTGGTACAAATGGAGATGTCACAGCTGGAATAACAGGGGATGCTGTGGCTGGAACAACAGGGGTTACCTCAGCTGGTACTGCTTGAGATACCGCGCTTGGTACAACGTCGTTTGCTGCAGCGGGTACAGTGGGATATACTGCGGCTGGTACAACTTCGGTTGCTACGGTTGGTACAACAGGGGTTGCTGCCGTTGGTTCTACGGGGACTGCTACTGCTGGTTCTACAAGGGCTGTTACAGCTAATACAGGTTTGAGTGTTACAGCCGACACAACGGGAGTTGTGGTCCTTGCAACTGCGCCCACGAAGCCACAAGGTGGCCTGAGGTTGTTGACGTAATCACAGATGCCGTAATCTTCGTTGAATGCTGTGGCTGTTAAAATACAGGAGAAATAATGACAGAAAAGTTAACTGACTGAACGGATAAGAAAGAACGATGGATAAATTGACTGATACAATATAAGGGAGACACGTTGATAGACAAACTAACAGAAATAAGAGAAAAAGAGATAATAATTGCGAAGTTAATAAACAAATATATTGTCGGGGAGAAGAAATGATGTTCAGAACAGAAATGAGACAAATTGGTAGACAATTTATTGTATAGAATAAGGGACGGGGGGAGGGGGGGGGGGGGGGAGAGAATGATAGACGAGTTAAAACACAGAATGTGAATAGTTTTCCAAATAAGGCGAAGCATATTTATTTGCATCCTATGCTACCAGTAGCAGACACTGCTGAGTTGATTCAAGAAAAGACAACACAGCACTTGGTGCATTCTCCTAAGCAGCCAGCGCTGTTCCAATACCAATGGTGCTAACAGCATCCTGACGATAAGTCCGTCTCGCCTTTCCTCTGAGCGTCCAGCATCGGCCAGATCCCCTCGTCACTGCCCGCTGCACCACTCTCACCAGACTGTGGTTACTCCGAATTGTACACCTTCTTCCACAAGGCCCCAACCACGTCCGCCTCATCATTTATCAATTTTCCACCAAGTTGTAAGGTGCCAGTCAATATATCTGACTGCTTATTTCCCAGCACACCCGCATGCCTAAGAGAAAAGATCTAGACAATGTTCTGACCTCCCTGTGAAGCAGGTCATTCAGCACGAAGCATGCCTGTCCTCACCTTTCTCATCTTGCTTTCTGAGTCAGTTATAATCACGATGTGTGTGTGACTCTGTGTGTGTGTGTGTGTGTGTGTGTGTGACTCTGTGTGTGTGTGTGTGTGTGTGTGTGTGTTGTGTTCTCTAACCAGCAAAAAGTTGCAGTGACCGCCTCTACCTGCATTCTTAAGCTTGATGTTGGGGTATTGTATGCAAGGCTCTCCTGCATCAATCCACAGCCATTAGCTAAGAACCCCCAGGCAGACACAGTGATTCACAAAAGTTCAGGAATTACAAGTAAGTAAAAACTGGAAACGAGATGTCATAGAAAGGCTTCGGGGGAGGGGGCGGGTGTCCAGAAGATATAAAATCATGAATTATCTCATAACAGGAAAATGAAGCAAAGAACCAACAGTAAATTGCTCTCATAGACAGAGAGAGAGAGAGAGAGAGAGAGAGAGAGAGAGAGAGAGAGAGAGAGAGACAGAGAGAGAGAGGGAGATAGAGAGAGAGCAACTTAAACGGTTTACTCACTGAAAATTACTCGTGCTGTGATATCATAAAATGCATAAACAAAAAGAGAAGATAAACCTAGAGCAGAAAGTAGACCAATAATAATGTGGACAGATTGCATCAGAGAAGTGACAACACCAACAAGTGTCTAAGACTAAGGCAGCCACAAGAGTAACAATCAGATGATATCTCCCTCAACAGCCAAAACAGTAAAAGAGGAACTGGATCAGATAAATAAAACAGTAGTGGTGGTAGTGGTAGTTGTAGTAAAAGGATGTTAAGGATTAAGAGGAGAAGAAGAAGAAAAAGGGGGAAGATGATAAGAAGTAGGAAGAGAAGAAAATGAAAAAAAGAAGAAGAAAAAGAGAAGGAGGAGGAGGAGGATCAAGAAAAACAAAAGGGAAAAGAACAAGAAAAAGAACAAAAAGAGTGTTTTTGTGTGATTTGAAATGAGGAGAAAGGGACTGTAACTTAGTAATTTATGTTTGATTTACGTGGGCCCATTTTGCGGTAAAAGAATATAACTTTGGCCCAAACAAGCTTGCTGTAGACGGCAATAAATTAGAGGTTAGCTGACATCGGATGTGGTGCGCTGAAGGCGTATATATATATCTCTAAGTAAAGCAGTGATCTACTGTAGATACTTACGAGCAGGGCAGTAGAAACGTCCCATGTTTAGGCCTCGAAAACAGCGGTAGTAGCTGATACAACCATCACCCAGATCTGCATAGGAACCGTCTACCTTGCCAACACAATCTGTGGCCAGGTGGCAGTCAGTCTGTCCTTCTCCTGGCCTAACCAGATAAACACGCCCATGTTATTTATTTGTTTGTTTGAAAGCATATAGTTTTTACAAGCATAATCTAAAGAAATATTTTCAACAAATGTGTTAATCAAATGTTGCTAATTATTTTTAATTGACGGCTAGAGGATAATTAAAATATTTATAAATCAACTCTAGGTGCGTTCCTTGGTACCCACAGAGTTCATAAATAAAAATAACATAACCATTGAACCATTAAGATAGTGGAAGCACTAACACACAATACCACGCCATCTTTCTCTTTCTTCCGCTTGTTAAATAAGTATTCCTTACTATTTCTTTATGTTGTCATTCAACTTTCTTCTGTAACCTCCTTTTCTTTGACTATCCCCCCCCCCCCCCCCCCCCCAATCCCTTTTCACCCAGTGTCCCTTGAAGTACAGTCTTTACAAACGAATCATGTTTCACCACGTGCCTAAACCAAACTAGCTTGAAAAGTTTCCCCACTGCCCAGAGAGGCTTCCAGTGTCATCCAAATTTGCTTATTTTGTTTCTGACATATTTCTTAGTTTTATGTTCTAAATAACTAGTTCGTAAATTCGTTGTAAATTATGGATGCGAGAGCTGGAAATCAACGAAAACTCTAGACACAAAATTAGACAGTTTTGAAAATAAATGCCTTAGAAGAATACTAAATTTCAAATGGTCAGATTTCCGAACAAATACACAAATACGGCAAGAATCCAGGCAAGAGTATGTGTCTAATTTTATACGAAAACGCCGCTGGAACTATGTCGGCCACGCCCTTAGAATGGATAAATCAAGACTTCCTTACCAAGCCCTCATTTGGACACCACAGGGGAAAAGATCTCGTGGAAGACCAAGGGAAACCCTACGTAGAACTATCATCAGGGAAGGCTCGCTCATGGGCCACTCAAACATCCAAGACCTACAACAGATTGCAACGAACCGCCATGCATGGAGAGTCATGACCTCTGCCCTATGTGCCGCACTCGACACAAGAGGAAAACTAACTAACTAACTAACTAACTAACTAAATTCGTCGACTGCATTTACATTCGAAAGCCTGACTCTTCCTTTCCATTTCCGCAGTGATAATGCAACTCTCACATCCGTATAAGACAACAGACAATACACGTGAGCTGTATATATTTTCTACCAAAGCCCAGGATACCATACAAGGTCAAATGCCTTCTTGAAGTCAATGAAGTTATGAAATAAGTCACGTTTATGTAGTAAGTGTTTTTCTATCATTATTCTTAGGTTGAAGATTTGTTCAGTGGTAATTTTATTTTTTTCCGGAAACCCGCTGCCTGTTCTTCGGCTAGTATTTTTTTCAGATTTTGCTTTCAATCTGTT